TTAGAGAGCTACCGCACGCGCTCGGTGCTGTGGCCACTTGCATGAGATGGAACCGTTGAAATCCAACGATTATTGTTATTTAGTTTGATGTGGAGAGAAACTGAGAAAACATTGGGATATTGAATTCTCAAAAGCAAAGTTACTATTCAGTGTATTTGTGTTTTTCATTGTTTGTGGGAGATTGAAGAAAGACGCGCATCCCATCAATCACACACCCCTCCCTCCGCGCTCAAACATAGAAACGGGTAAAGCTTAATTTCAAGCCCATTCTCTCCCGTGGCACGGCGTAAGGACCAAACTCACATTGTGCAACTATAATTGTTTTCCATCTCGGCGTTTTTAAGTTCCTGGGCACAGAGGAGATGAGGCATTTAGATGTTTACAAAGGCGCGTAAAAGTTGTGGATGCTGACTTTTGCGCGTGAACATTTAAAGGTCTGTCTTCGCTCCAAAAGTTACGGCGCGACCAGGGATCCGTTCTTCTCCGCGCCAGGATACCCCCCTCAAGCAGGCTGGACGACCACCCTCTTCGGAGATCCCCGCGGGTCCGCAGAGCGCAGATGATCGCTACAGGGGTCTGCGGCGTGGCGCTGGTGCTCGTCCTGGTGGTCCTCATCCCGGTCATGGTCAACACGGCGGGACCCCCCGCGCGCTACGAGATGCTGGGGTCGTGTCAAATGGTGTGTGATTCTCACGGCACCGCGGCCACAGCTACAGCCAAAGCCACGAGTCCCATCAAAGACAACCGCCTGGTCCAGTCGCTGCCCACGTTCATCCAAGGTCCGCAAGGTGAGCCGGGGCGCGTGGGGAGGGTGGGTCCCAGAGGTCCGGTAGGTGAACAGGGACCACCTGGACCCGCAGGACCACCCGGGGAGAGAGGTGTGCCAGGACCACCAGGACCTCCTGGAGCTCCGGGGTTAAACGGACCAACTGGTGCCATAAGTGCAGCTACATACAATACTGTCCCAAAGATCGCCTTCTACGCAGGGCTTAAAAAACAACACGAGGGATACGAGGTGCTCAAGTTCGATGACGTCGTAACAAACCTGGGGAACCACTATGACCCCGCCACTGGCAAATTCACCTGCTCCATACCCGGGATTTACTTCTTTATTTACCACGTGCTGATGAGAGGAGGCGACGGAACCAGCATGTGGGCTGACCTCTGCAAGAACAACCAGGTAGGATTTTAAATTAGGAATCATGCATTACACGGTACGGGATAAACTTAATTTGTAATGCGACATAAAGTCTTAAGTTTGATACATATCATGCATTCATGCTGTGCGATCTATTTTACGCACACATTACGCAGGACTACTTCACACCAAACGCTGTACAACTGGGATGACGGGGGTCACTCATCATGTCGTGGCGGAACTGTCCGAGGTGCTGAAACTCAATGTGGTGTTCACACTGCTGCGTGTCTTTGTCAACAGGTGAGAGCCAGCGCCATTGCTCAAGATGCGGACCAAAACTATGACTACGCCAGTAACAGTGTGGTCTTACATCTGGAGCCTGGAGATGAAATTTACATCAAACTGGACGGAGGCAAAGCGCACGGGGGCAACAACAACAAGTACAGCACGTTTTCTGGCTTCATGCTGTATGCAGACTGAGGGGCGGCGCGTCTGCGCTCTGTAGCCACTTCATCTGGATTACGTAGTAGATGGATCAAATAATTTAAGGAAAAGAAGTCCATATGAGAAGACATAATGTTGATATGCTGCAAGAACTGTACTTAAGACTATCATGATTTTAATTTGGTAAATGTGACTCATACTCAAGAACTATTGTATCATTACCTGAAGTAATGCTGCTGTCTGAAAGGAAGAGGCTCACAGAGCTCAAAGTTCAGTCATCGGTCCATTTGCAATGTGCTTGTCTATAAATGTGCTTTATTCAACAAAGTATGATGGAATGTTGTCAGGTCTATCAGTGCATGATTGTAGACATATTAAACAAATATGTTCAGAAAAAAATCAGACCCGATTTTATTACAGCACTGTGACTATAAGGCTGCAGTATAAATGTTATTTGGAGATTATTTATACGAGGTGTTTCAATTAGATAAACAAACTGTGTATAACAATGAATTATCTGTGCCAAATTCAATCTAAGGGTGATGCAATTCCTTGAAGTATATTAACCGCAAATAAAACTACTAAACATAAAAATCAGATGCATTTCAGAACATGTTTGTGGACAACAGGTTGACTAAGCGGAGACCCAGGATAGGACAGTGTTTTTTCTTCTGAAAGCCCTGGAAACATGTTTTAAGTACGTCATTGGGTGGCATGGTGGATAGAACTTATGGTTCACAGCAAGAAGGTTCTGGGTCCAGGCCTTGCCGTGTTGAGGTCACATGTTCTCCGCACATCGACGTATAGGTTTCCTCCGGGTACTCCGCTTTTTCCCACTAATAACATGTAATAGGTTTGAATGAGTGTCTGTATAGATTGTGGGACTACAAAAAGCTACAATTTGGTGTATTTAGAGCTCCAGCTGTTCATAAATGCACACTGTCCCATACAAATAAATACATTTTTGAACAGCTCTATTGACGTCTGACAAGCCAGGTAATTCTCGCTGCGATCCAGAATCTATTTTGCGGGATTCCGAATCAATTGTACATGATTTGGCGGTAATTCAAACCACGAGCAACTTAAGGAAAGCTCCGCAGACACAGAGAGAACATGGAACACAAATGTTTAATCTTTTGAATGGGTAATGACATAACACTAAAATTGAAGATAAGCTAGCATTCAGTTTTACCTCTATTGTTGCAGCCATAGCTATGACAAAAAACAAAATTTGTCTTTATGTGAAACCCACCCATGACTAACGACCGATGCACTTGCTCACTTTCTGTGCAACAGTTGGTCTGCTGAGTGTTTCGGCCGTTTAGTCACCGCTCCAATATGGCCGCCCAAAATCATCACTGAGCACCAGAGCCTCAAAATGCCAAATACATTTAAATCAAAATGTCTTGTGTCTGTCTGTGTCTCTGTATATGAATCAAAGTTAAATATTGTGCAGTCTGGCGAGCTGATGGAGCCATAGATCATGTGGAGATGTCACCCTGTGAGGCCACCTGTTCCCCAGATGAGAGGGGAGCTTGTCCTTCATTTGGACCACTCGGGCTCCCGTAGACACCCGGACTCCCACTGAGGGGCAACAGGAAAACTCATCTAACACAGTCGTCGCTGCGCCACGTCCCGATCGGAGCTGAATACTGATCACAACCAGGTTCATTATTCCACTTAGGTGCGAGCGCAAGTGAAGTGTGAAAGTTGAAAAAGAACAGACCTGATATTTGATAAGAGAAAATGTATCCAATTTATGTTTGTACAGCCCTAAATCACAGCCGTAAGAAGTCGTCTCCGAGGACTTTACAAAGTTGTCGGTTTGCAAACAATAGACCAGAGAATCAAAAAGTTTGAGCAGAGGAAATGCAATAATAACAAACACATTGGTCCATAGGGAGCGAGATGAGCAATGTCGATAAATTTAAATAAATGTGTTATAAATGCTCAATTCAATGTACTCTTGTATATCCCTAAATCACAACAGTACTGTAGTTATATCTCAGAAGACTTACCACAACTGTTGAATTTGCCAACACAGATCAGAGAATCAAACAGTTCAAACACAAGAAATGAATTTAAAACATTGGTATTGGTCCATCAGGGGCAGATGATCAATGATGACCCATGGCAGTGTATTTGTATAGAGCTTTTCATAGATTACAAAGTGCAAACGGGAAGATTCGTCAGGCCGATCCCAAATTTGGATCGTCGCCTCATTCAATACTAAACATTCAGTTGTATTTAAACACTTGAAAAAAAAAAAACGAGAAAACAAAAAACGCTGTCAATTGTGACCACACAGTTCTTCTATTTAGTTTGAGTTTGCAGTAAATCTTAATAATCGACTATGGGTCAGAGCATGATTCTAAACAATTGTAATCGGCTTTGAAAAAATAAAAAAAAATAAAGCAATTATTCAAACTAATTTTACAGAGATTATAACCATGAGAATTAGTCTTATTATAGTTAATTCATTTAAAAGCTTAAAACTGTAATAAGTCACTTTTTTAAGTAAGTAAGTACCATAGTGTTTTTTTAAATGGCGCACTTCACAGATCAAGGTCACACAAAGCCCTGACAGAAGCGAGACGCCGAACACCTGGTGCATCGAAGTCTCAGACCCTCTCCATCCATTCACTCTCTCTTTACAATTCAACAGAAAGAACTTTTGAAAGTAACATTTAGTGAAAAAATCATCGCAGAGCATGTTATCTAGTATACAGTATACTGACAGTTTATGAAGAGCTGATCGTCTCCTTCATTAAAAAAGCGATTCTAAAGAAATGACGGAGGCCAAAAATACATGTTTGGAGGGCGAGGAACTAGTGTTTTCAAAGTTAGTGGCTCCAACCTTATGTCTATTTTCAGATTTTAATGAACTGAACTGACTGTATCTCTTATATTTTTCTGAGTTTATTTGTTTAGAAATAATATTGCGTTAATTATTGCTTAATTACGGCTTTAAATAAGGTTATGGTGGGAGGGCGCAGCGTAGAGGCGTTTTGGGCACATGGTTTTTAAGCAGTATGAGGAGACGCTGCAGTTTGCATGTTTTGCCATTTGCTTGGTCAATAAACCTCCCTCAAATGCATTTCTGTTTGGACATTTTGTTTTCTCTTCACTGTGTAAACCAACCTGGAAACACCTTAAGTGGCCTTTTGATTTGTTTTGGTTTGCTAAAGGTCTAAGATATGGACAAATAGGCACTACAGTTAGATACTCGAGCTGTATCGAAATAAAAGTCCACATAATCAACATACAGACTAATGGCACTGACTGTGATTGTTCAAAAATTGTTAATTGGAAAAGCTTCATTTTACATTCATTTGGTAAAAATACAAAAGCCCTCATTCTTCTTGATTTCTCTTACATGATGGAAATGAACTTCCTCTTTCTAACATTATGATTGAGTTCATTTAAAGGTGAGCCAGTGCTTGGGGTTGTGGATCAGGATCTTGTCCACCTGGTGCTGCGTGAAGCCTCTGATCAACATCTTTGGAACAATGTTTTGAAGGATGTGGGAGTAACCGTGTCCTCCGAACTTTGTCAGCCGGTTTTTGGTGTGGATGTCGTGAGCCACGAGGATCTTGTCTTCATAGCCCTCCTTCACCAGAAATGCCAGTCTAAACACAAAATAACAGTTAGCAACAGACTTTATTTAAAGAAAATGTAAATCTGTAAACGACTTAAATGACATTTGTAAAGCAAAATTCATACACAAGGACACTCAAACATATCAACAAAAAAACAAAACAAAATCACATAAACAGGTAAAAACGGAAATAACTACAGTACAATCTGTTTTAGGAAGACAACAAATCTGAAACGCTGCCTCTCCCTGTTTCTGACTCTGGGCACCAGCAGGAGGCCAGTCCCTGTGCTCCCCAGAGTCCAAGTTGTTTCATATGGCACTAACATGTCTCAGATGTACTGGTACGAGGCCACGGAGAGACTATTCTCTGAGCCACAGGAGCCACAGGAGCCACAGGAGCCAGCGCGGAGACCTGAGACCAGGACTTATGGTTCCGGTTCTAGTCTGGTTCCAGTTCTAGTCATTCTAGTCAGGACTGGAGTTGCAGCGTTTTGAATATACTGCAGCTACACCTTATAAATGTTGATGTTAGCAAGTTTATTATTTAAAATATTTAAAAAATGCCTAATTAGGGCTGGACAATAAATCGAATTTAGGCAATTTTGAAAAAAACAAATTTGTGAAAAATGTGAAAATCGTGAAATTGAACGATTTTCTAGAAGCACATGAACTATACTTGCAATATCAGCACAGTCTGTACAAGACTTTTATCAAACATATTGGGGGAAACAAATAAAAAATTGTTTTGAAACTTGAATATTGAGCGGAACGATCAAAAAATATTCAAGGGCAAAGTCTGTCTTCGGGGACTTTCATGAAAATCGATTTAAAATCTAAATTGTCCAAAGCAGGAAATAAAATTGAGATTTTACTTTTTTGCCATATCACCCAGCCCTACGCCTAATCAGTGCCAGAGAAGCAACTCTGTGTGTGTGCGTGTGTGTGTGTGTGTGTGTGCTCTACATGCAGGTGAGATACTGCCACACACGGTTTTGCTGTATTTATTGTATGATTTTAATACCAGTAAAAACCCAAAAACTGTTTATGTTTCTAGTAAATTTCAGGCATACTAGTAAATGATTATAATTGTTAATGGTTTCTTCAAGCATTTGGTTGAAGACTTGAAGCTTGAAACTGTATATTTCTTTGGGGCATTTCATTTGGGTTTAGACTCTTGAAACATCAAACTGCATCTCAACCATTTGGAAAAGGCCTATAACAATAATAATAATAATAAAAAAATAAAAAAACTAAGGGTTCAAAAACAAAAATAAAACAACAAAACATAAAATCTATGTGTTATTACTGCTCCTACATCAGAAAAATGTATCGCTCTCTTCAGAGAGTGAACATTAAAGGGTTTGTGAGAAGATCAGACTTTATATCGAGAGAACAACCTTAGCATCATATTCCTGAGTTTGTGTGTTTACAAATATCTTCCCATACATTCACAAATCACAGTTTTCTCTGTCAATACTCATTGGAAACACGGCCCCAGCTCTGTAGAAATCATGTTTACTTACACCCGGAGTTGATAAATTGCCCATAAACAGCCGTCAGCCTTTAGAATCGCTCTGTACAATATGCCTGAGGTGAATAATGGCGTTCATCACTCATTTCGTACTGTTCAGGAGACAAATGCCTTTAAGTTTCTATTATAAAACTGAAGGACAAACTCATCTTCCCACCAGGGGCTTCACCGTCATGACAGAAATGTATTAAGAGCCGGTTATTAATGAGATTCAGACGGAAAATATTTTTGATGTCAGTTTTTAGGGAGTGGGAACTTCTCTGTACCTAGACAATGCTAGCATATGGTTTTTACAGGTGGGCAGTTATTGTCTCTGGGCCACATTGGGATATTGTCATTACCATTACATACTAAGATTAAGATTAAGATTAAGAGATCCTTTATTCATCCCACTGTGGGGAAATTTCAGTGTTGCATCACAAGTTACAGAACAGTAGGAATGGGGAGGACACAACACACGATAAATAGATAATAACAATATACTAAATTAAAATAAAATAAAATCTATAACTCTAGCATAAAACAAAGCAGTACAAAATCTCTATCTTTAGCAAAATGAGGAAAGAATTTTTTAAACCTCCAACTTTCGCATGACAAAGAAGCAAGAATTAAGTGCAAAAACCTCTGACTTGAAGTATAACATGCTGTATGATTCTATTGCGAAACATATGTTCTATATTTTGTGAAAGCCTCTTCAGTTATAAAAATGATTTCTTTGATACTAAAGAACAGAAGAAGGAGAGGGGAACGTAGCGCTAAAATATCCAGTGTTTTCTTTGTCCATCCATCCATCCATTTTCTTCCGCTTTATCCGTTGCCGGGTCGCGGGGGCAGCAGTCTAAGCAGAGACGCCCAGACTTCCCTATCCACACACACTTCCTCCAGCTCGTCCGGGGGGACCCCAAGGCGTTCCCAGGCCAGCTGAGAGATATAGTCCCTCCAGCGTGTCCTAGGTCTTCCGCGGGGCCTCCTCCCGGTGGGCCGTGCCCGGAACACCTCCCCAGGAAGGCGTCCAGGAGGCATCCGGAACAGATGCCCGAGCCACCTCAACTGGTTCCTCTCGACGTGGAGAAGCAGCGGCTCTACTCCGAGCTCCTCCCGTGTGACTGAGCTCCTCACCCTATCTCTGAGGGAGCGCCCAGCCACTCTGCGGAGGAAGCTCATTTCGACCGCTTGTATCCGCGATCTCGTTCTTTCGGTCATTACCCAAAGCTCATGACCATAGGTGAGGGAGGGAACGTAGATTGACCGGTAAATCGAGAGCTTTGCCTTTCGGCTCAGCTTCCTCTTTACCACAACGGTCCGATACAGCGACCGCATCACTGCGCACGCTGCACCGATCCGCCTGTCAATCTCACGCTCCATCCTTCCCTCACTCGTGAACAAGACCCCGATATACTTGAACTCCTCCACTTGAGGAAGGACCTCTCCACCCACCTGCAGAGGGCAAGGCACCTTTTTCTGGTCGAGCACCATGGCCTCGGATTTGGAGGTGCTGATTCTCATCCCAGCCGCTTCACACTCGGCTGCAAACCGCCCCAGTGCATGCTGCAGGTCCTGGTTCGTTGGAGCCAACAGGACAAACAGCAGAGATGAAATCCTGTGGTCTCCGAACCGGACCCCCTCCGACCCCTGGCTGCGCCTAGATATTCTGTCCATAAATACAGTGAACAGAACCGGTGACAAAGGGCAGCCCTGTCGGAGGCCAACATTCACCGGGAACAGGTCTGACTTACTGCCGGCAATGCGAACACAGCTCTGGCTTCGGTCATACAGGGATCGGATGGCCCTCAGCAGAGGACCTCCGACCCCGTACTCCCGGAGAACCCCCCAAAGGACACCCCGGGGAACACAGTCGAACGCTTTCTCCAAATCCACAAAGCACATGTGGACAGGTTGGGTGAACTCCCATGAACCCTCGAGTATCCGATGGAGAGTATAGAGCTGGTCCAGTGTTCCGCGACCGGGACGAAAACCACACTGCTCCTCCTGGATCCGAGATTCGACCATCGGCCGTAGCCTCCTCTCCAGTACCTTGGAGTAGACCTTACCGGGGAGGCTGAGGAGTGTGATCCCACGATAATTGGAACACACCCTCCGGTCCCCCTTCTTGTAGAGAGGGACCACCACCCCGGTCTGCCACTCCATTGGCACTGCCCCCGATCGCCACGCGATGTTGCAGAGACGTGTCAGCCAAGACAGTCCTACAACATCCAGAGACTTTAGATAATCAGGGCGGATCTCATCCACACCCGGAGCCTTGCCACCATGGAGGCTACCAACCACCTTGGTGACCTCAGCCAGGGAGATGGATGTATCCGCCCCAACATCCTCAGCCTCTGCCTCTGTAACAGAGGACGTGACGGGGGGATTGAGGAGAACCTCAAAGTATTCCTTCCACCGCCCAACAATATCCCCAGTCGAGGTCAGCAGCTCTCCACCCGCACCGTACATGGTGTTGGCAAAGAACTGCTTCCCCCTCCTGAGGCGCCGGATGGTTTGCCAGAATCTCTTCGAGGCCGACCGATAGTCATGCTCCATGGACTCTCCGAACTCCTCCCAGTCCCGGGTTTTTGCCTCTGCAACAGCCCGGGCCGCGGCACGCTTGGCCTGCCGGTACTGGACAGCTGCCTCAGGAGTCCCCCGAACCATCATGGCTCGATTGGACTCCTTCTTCAGCCTGACAGCATCCCTTACTGCCGGTGTCCACCACCGGGTTCGGGGGTTGCCGCCGGGACCAGCACCAGAGACCTTGCGACCACAGCTACGAGCCGCCGCATCGGCGATTGAGGCAGAGAACATGGTCCACTCGGACTCCATGTCCCCCTCCTCCGCCGGGACCTGGGAGAAACTCTCCCGGAGGTGTGAGTTGAAAGTCCGTCTGACAGGGGGCTCAGCGAGACGTTCCCAGCAGACCCTCACTATACGCTTGGGTCTGCCAGGTCTGACCGGCTTCTCCCCCTGCCAGCGGATCCAACTCACGACCAGGTGATGATCGGTTGACAGCTCCGCCCCTCTCTTTACCCGAGTGTCCGAGACACGCGGTCGAAGGTCAGATAATACGACAACAAAGTCGATCATCGACCTCCGGCCTAGGGTGTCCTGGTGCCACGTGCACTGGTGAACACCCTTGTGCTCGAACATGGTGTTCGTGATGGACAAACTGTGACTGGCACAGAAGTCCAACAACTGAACACCGCTCGGGTTCAGATCAGGGGGGGCGTTCTTCCCGATCACCCCTCTCCAAGTGTCACTGGCGTTTCCCACATGGGCGTTGAAGTCCCCCAGGAGAATAACGGAGTCCCCGGGCGGTGCACCGTCCAGTACCCCTCCCAAGGACTCCAAGAAGGCCGGGTACTCTGCACTACTGTTAGGCCCGTAGGCCGTCACAACAATGAGAGACTTGTCCCCCACCCGGAGGCGGAGGGACGCGACCCTCTCATTCACCGGGGAGAACTCCAACACGTGGCGGCTGAGATGGGGGGCAATGAGAATGGCCACCCCAGCTCGCCGCCTCTTCCCGCGGGAAACTCCAGAAAAGTGGAGCGTCTAACCCCTCTCAAGGAGTTGGGTTCCAGAGCCCAAGCTGTGTGTGGAGGTGAGGCCGACTATCTCTAGTCGGTATCGCTCAACCTCCCCCACAAGCTCGGGCTCCTTCCCCCCCAGTGAGGTGACGTTCCACGTCCCAAGAGCCAGCTGTTGTGTGTGCGGACTGGGTCGCCGAGGTCTCCGCCTTCGACCGCTGCCCAGTCCTCTCTGCACCGCTTCGCCACCACGGACCCCTCTGCGGGTGGTGGGCCCACAGGAGGGACTGCCCACGTCGTCCATTCGGGCTGAGCCCGGCCGGGCCCCGTGGGCTAAGGCCCGGCCACCAGGCGCTCGCATACGAGCCCCGACCCCAGGCCTGGCTCCAGGGTGGGGCCCCGGCTGCGCCATGCCGGGCGACGTCACTGATTTCGTGCTTGTGTTGTCCATGGTGTCTTCTGGACTGCTCTTTGTCTGACTCGTCACCTGAGACCTGTCTGCCATGGGAGGCCCTACCAGGGGCATGAAGCCCCAGACAGCATAGCTCCCAGGATCATCCGAGTACTCAAACTCCCCCATCACGTTAAGGTGGCAGTCCAGGGGGGCTGCCACCTTAACGGGGGGCAGGGCAGGGGGGCAGGTGTTTTCTTTGTTTTTGTGTAAATAATTGGTTTATAGTTTTTTTTTTCATCTGTGGCTATGGTTTTGTTTGAACCCTTTTACATTATGAAAGTTTATTGAGCAAATTATTATTATATCAATAAAGGTTTCCCAGTATTTTGTTTTAGTTTTGCTTGGATTGAAATGAAGCTGGACCAAAGGTGAAGAAGGCCGAGTATTGTAGACAGTTGAAGTTCCATCCATCCATCCATCCATCCATTTTCTACCCTTTAATCCATTTCTGGGTCAGGGGGGGTGACAATCAGAGATGCCACCCAAGTCTCATAGCACCAGCCCCTCACTGACCCTCTGCAGGTGGTGAGTCCACAGGAGGACGGCTGCTCACTGAGTGTGAGCATAGCCTTGATCTTTCAGTGGGGGCTTTGGGCAAAGTGGGGTTAAGTGTCTTGCCCAAGGACACAACGACAGCAGTCATCAGTGGGAGTCGGTGGAGAAGGTGCAGAGGTGGGAATTGAACCCACGACCTTCTGGCCTTAAGGCCAATGCTCTACCAACTGAGCTACTGTCGCCCTCCTGTTGAAGTTTTTGACAAATTATTACTGGGATGGGTCCATGGGCTGAACAGAAAAGGCAAGATCATAATTTATTAGATTCAACTCCAACCGAGTATTCATCATTTCATGTATACTTTTGACAATAAACTACGCAGTAAGGGAGTTGAAATCCTTTTCATATCAAACACCAGTTTTAGTGTTAAAAGTAAATTTAGCCTATCTTCCTAACAAATAGTTACATTTGAATAGTTTGCATTGGTCAAGAGTAATCCCACAACAGCTGCCACCTCTTTTATCTGATTAGACGAAGACCAAGTTGTTTCAGAACTATAATTTTGCTTCTGAGTTGAATAAACTTGGCCTCATGCTTCATACTCACGTCTGCACTCGCTGGCTGTCACTGGGCATGTCCACCTCCATGTTGTAGGGATAGTTCAGCATCTCCGTTCCAAACAGGTCGTACTCCAGGTAACTGCCCAGCTTGGCAAACTCCAGCAGCTCCCCCTCGTCAAATATTGTCCTGTAAAATTAAAACATTACAGAGTATATCAAATACCGTCTCCCTCTGTGTCCCCCGTAGATTCTGCAGTGATGGTATAAATAAACTGAATCTGAATCTGAATCTGGTGGAGCAGTCAATCGCATTTTCATTCATCTATTTATTATTGTAATCGGAGTTATGGCAAGTGTCAACCAGATGCCAAAACTACAAAATGTTTTCTAAATGTTGCAATGTTGACCCCTCAAAGCTGACTGACTGGATAATTAACATGGTAAGCACAGGATTGGGGTAACTTCACAATTATAGCTCTTAAAATCATGTATTAATATCCAGAATAACCCTCACTGGCCTCATCTCGAACTCAATAATGATCTCTGATAGAAAATACAATCCTCTGTTGGCATAATAACTAGGGATGCACCGATGTTTGCCTTGTTAACTACCATCGGACACGCACACACACACACACACAAACATACACACACACACACGAAAGGGACAAGACAAGTGTAGTTGTGACATTCAGAGACACCTCATAACGCCCCATATGGACCAAGGGCTCTATGTGTTTTTTGTCATTGCATTTCCTCTTTGAACTGTTTGATTCTCTGATCTGTGTTGGCAAATCCACAACTGTGTAAATCCTCCAATATTACTACTGTTGTGATTTAAGGATTTACAAAAATACATTGAACTACATTGAACTGTTCAATACATTGAACATTGAAATTGAGTATTGGTGATGATGTGCTGTCAACTCCTGCAGGTGCATCGTAAAGTATCAATTAAACAATAATGAACCAAAGTGCTAAAGTACCTGAAACCACAGCCCTGCACCTGGAGCAACACTTATTTAAAGCTGGGATACCTAACTTTCAAACATTCTAGTTCCTGTCTCTAAAACAGTTTACTTCTATCACTAGTTTTCACATCTTGGCGTCTGTCACATCTTAAAACCAACTTCTTCAAACAGGAAGGTGAAAAGAGCATCCTCACTCAGCCAATGAGCAATCAAATAGTGACTCCTGGGGCCCTTTCTTACAAGTATGATCCTTCTTATAAGACAACAACAACAACAACTTATTCTTGTATAGCCATAAATCACAAAAGCAGTCATCTCAGAGGACTTAACAAAACCATTGAAATCATCAACACAGATCAGAGAATCAACAGTTAAGACACAAAATGTACACATATGAATTGGTCCATAGGGAGAGACCAATGTCCATCTTTTGAATCAGTGCACATGTGCAAAACTTTGGCTGTGACACAAACTGATTTGGTCAAACTTATCTTAAGCATTTTTTCCACCGGGAGACATCACTGCTGACCATTGATACTCAGACCACCTGCTGACACCTGCTGACCCCTTACCACCCGGACTGTGAGACTGTTGACCACAAAACGTGAGCTTTTCGATTTTCCCTGTTCTGTCTCAATGCCTTTGGCGTGTTATTCAGACACACAGTGACTTGGACCAAACATTCTTGGCATTAGATCAGCTCCACACACATCACTTGTATTTAAACTTTAGCGGAGACCTGCGAGACGCGGCTCGTCATGTGACCATGTGAACGAGCTGTCGTTTGCTGCTAAACAGCATAAAGAATGGGAAGATTAAAAAAGCAGTTCTCTGTGCGCAAAGGTGCCGAGGCTGTTGCTGGTTTTGGCGCCGCTTTCTCGGCTCTGATCCAGTAGAACGCAGAGCTGCACTTATGAAAACTATGCGGCTGTTATTTCAAAGAACGTGAAATATTTAAAACTACGCAGTTAACCGTTTTCAACCGGTTAATGAGGCTCGGTGGTCGGTCATGAAAATTCATAGTTTTTTACATCCCTAACCCCAGCTTTAAAAGTAACTTAACAAACCTATTTTTATACAAACAATATGAAAACTTGTGATAGAAATGTACTGTTTTGAGAGTAAGGAACTCCTTATATGGACAATGTGCTCAGCTCTGCAAGCTTGCACTGTTCTATGTGATTCATTTTTGCATTGTTGCTGTGGGATTTCAAGAGTGGGGACTGCTAGAAAATCATTTAACACAACGAATTTCATTGGACATTTGAGAAGCAAGCATGAGGTGGTGTACAGCGATTGCATGAAAGCTGAAGTAAAATGCAAAACTGAAGCCGCCAAGACATGCATACATATAACAATGAAAAAACATCTGCCAAGTTGTTATGTTAAACACGTGTGTGTTGGTATCGGCCCCTCATGCATAAGGACAAATAAACTGTATGAACCACACACTATAGTGAAGCGTAGAGCGACGTAAAGCACATGCAGTGATTGAAAGTGAGGGGCACTTGTACAGAGCAGAATAGACAGTATGATGCACCGATTGTCCTATCAATGAGTGAGCGAGAAACACAAGGGTCAACTGTGCAATAATAAACTCATCCATCAAACATCAGTCCATCCATCTTCACCACTTAGCCTTGTGAGGGTCACTGGGGTCCGGGCGCTGTCCCAGAGACCAGACCCGAGTCCACTTTGTAACAGGACTGACACCAAAACACCGGCAACTGTTTAGACCAGGGACAAGTCCATCCAGGGTAATTTAACCATTAACCTTGTGATGAGGACCTTGTATTATGGCGGACAGCTGGACACTTATTACAAGAGTTGCGAGTTAGCAGCTGCTGTCGTAGGTTTGAATTAGATTACACATACAACATAAACTTTAAATGTATTATTTTGTCTATCTTATATTAATGTATGCACAAACTGTCTTTAGATGCAGCTGTACTTGGTATCAATGTATTTTAAAAGACATCCAAAACCGTAATAAAGAATAAACTAAAATAAAACTCCTTGTGGTTCTAGAGGTATATTATTATGTATGTATCTATCAAACACCTGACACGGGCAATTAAGGAAAGTCTTACTCGTTCATTTTTTGTTTAGTAATGTGTTAAAATTCTTCTCCTATGCTGCAAACCATAGAAAATAAGTGAGTGTGCAATATTTGTCTAAATTGAAAAGCAATTTCACTTTATGTGAAAACTGCACTTGAAAAGGAGAAAACAAATTTGGCAAATCTTATTTCCATTAACTCTACTGACAACAGATTACATACATACAGTACAGACCAAATACTTCTTATGACTTCTGCCTTTTCATCTTACTAATGATAGGAAATGGGGGATTGAGGTGATTTATCAAGAGATTAACAGATCCTCCAACAGTGGGGAAATTTCATTGTTGCATCACCTGTTATGAGAACAGTAGGAATGAGCTCACAGCACAGGATAAGATAAATGAACACAGCTCCATACTATACTAAATATAATCACATAAAATAAAATCTCTGACTTTATCATATAAAAGAAGCACTGTATAGATTACTAGATTGTTCCTTGCCAATCCAGGAGGGTCTTTGGACAGTGATGATCCGGGACATTTATTAACTTACGGACATTGGTCACCCCAAACCAATGGCTCCTATGCGTTTGTTATTATTGCATTCGTTACTTTGGAAATTCCTTCGAGACGACTTCTGTTTGAGTTATGGTTATACAAAATTAAATTGTTTAGCCTTATTGCAACAGTCAAAACAATGTATTATCTTCAGGAGCCTAGTGTGTACTATCTTCTCTGTCTAGTGCACACTGGGGTAGTCTTGCACAGTCTTTCCAATGTGGTTTTACTGCAAATGGCAAATAGATTCTTGAATCTTTATGTCGTTTGTAATCGCTTCAATGTTTCCAATACCAAATTAAACTGCTATTCTATATTTGTGACCACTATTTTACCTGTCCAGATGTGACATGACCGTCTTGCTGATGTCGCCCCCGGCTTCTTGCAGGATGCGGACCACCTCAGCGGGGGCGGCGGGGTTTCGTCCTGGGTGGATGATGACGGGACAGCCGAGCCGTGTCTGAGCGTGGGCCGTGGCTCTCAGGACCCGGGTCTCGCTGTCGGTGATGGGCCAGCCGGTGCCGATCTCCCCGATCACGCCACAGCGGATCTCCGTCCCATCGGCTCCGTTCATCACTTCCCTCACCATGACGTCCGTGAGCTGTCGACGAAAGTGACAAGACAGACAAGTGTGAGACAGTGGTGCGTTCAGGGTCAATTAGAAACATGTAACGAGATGAATTAATTTTACATTGGTTTGACAGGTTTGTTTCTGTGATGTGATGCAGACAAACATAGGATCACAATGCATTATCTATGGAGCATGAGCATAAAGTATACCAAGGCTCAGTCAGAATCTACCTTCTCCTTTGCAACCATCCAGTCAAAAAAACAAACATCAAAACAAGTAACACATTTTACCAGATACACTTCAGAAGCACCAAGAGTCCTTTTTCACATTAACCCTTAAAAATTCAGTCAGTGATTTACGGACGCATTTTTTTATATATTGTGGGAAAACATCCATAAACCCTAAAGGCAGTCAAGTTATCATGTGTTATCAAAAAGTAATGGAATTGACCAGATGCCTATAGTCTCCAAAAATATATAAAATGTTTTTTTGGAGTGGACCGATGAAAATAAACCAACTGGATTCGTTCATCCCCAACGAACCAATGGGATGCGTTTTCCCCCCTTCATCCTCTTCCTGTTTCTCTCGACTGCGCACCTGAGTAATCAGATTTTCTAAAACCTAAAAGGGCTGAACAGAAAATGCCAATTTCATGTTTGCCACCCACTCTCCCTGTTGTGACAAAGAAAAGAAAATGCTGGATGCTGTTTGCCACCCACTCTCCCTGTTGTGACAAAGAAAAGAAAATGCTGGATGCTTGGTTTGGTGGAGAGGCGAGGGGGGAGTGGTTTCGAGTCGGTGCTACGGCTAAGCTAACAACATTGCTTACTGCACCTTTAAGTAAGTAAGTAATAAATCTTTATCTATTTTAGAACATAACCTGCGCTTCTACATTCACGGCCCCAGGACTGAAGGCGATCGTAAATCATAAATCTGTAAATTGGGGGTAATGGAGCGCCCAGCCACTCTGAAGAATAAACTCCACCCAGCAAAGTGTTTTACTTGTTCCTGACTCTATTAACCTAAAATAAATGATGAAAATCTAAGAATCACTCGTGCTTTCCAGACAATTCTCCTCAGCCCACCTGCTCCACAGTCATGCTCTTGGTGGCTTCTGAATGAGTGCAGTCCACATAGTACCCCGCCCCTGCGATGATATGGACCCCTGTGTCCTGAGCAAGCCGTTTCAGGGTGGGTAGATCTCTGTCTAGTCCTGTGGTGGTGTTCTCCACTATAGCGCCCCCTCCTGCTTGGCTGTAGACTCTTAGCTCGTCCCGCACTGCATCGGTCTCCTGTTGCAGCAGGAGGTTCTCGCGGCAGCTGTAGGGGTTTTGCCGGAGCCAGTGCATGTGCTGCATCTGGAAGGGGTTCACAGCCACCGCCTCGTCCCCCGCCGCAGGAGCAAAGTAGCAGCACTCGAACGTCATGGTGAGGTGTTCATGGGTCATCGTACGCCCGAGTTTCTCAGGGTCCACGAGTCCAAGGACAGTCTGGACTTTGCCGCTTAAACTAGACATGGTGGCTGTTCGAGAGGATTCCTACAAACAGAAAGTTATTGGTGAAAAATATACATATAAAAATAATTACATAAATGGAAAATAGTGCATCTTTTATAAATATTGGTTTTAGAAAAAGTGGCACACGTCCAAGTCTTTTTACATAAAACCACTCATATTTGTGCATCCATCCATCCATCCATTTTCTTCCGCTTTATCCGTTGCCGGGTCGCGGGGGCAGCAGTCTAAGCAGAGACGCCCAGACTTTCCTATCCACACACACCTCCTCCAGCTCGTCCGGGGGGACTCCAAGGCGTTCCCAGGCCAGCTGAGAGACATAGTCTCTCCAGCGTGTCCTGGGTCTTCCCCGGGGCCTCCTCCCGGTGGGACGTGCCCGGAACACCTCCCCAGGAAGGCGTCCAGGAGGCATCCTGAACAGATGCCCGAGCCACCTCAACTGGTTCCTCTCGACGTGGAGAAGCAGCGGCTCTACTCCGAGCTCCTCCCGTGTGACTGAGCTCCTCACCCTATCTCTAAGGGAGCGCCCAGCCACTCTGCGGAGGAAGCTCATTTCGACCGCTTGTATCCGCGAATTCATATATTTGTGCAATTCATATTATTTCCAAGTTGAAGTTTTCAGTTTTGCATTAGAGGTCAGTGTTCAGAATGATGAGCAGTGAATAAAGTTTACCTTTATTTAACCAGGAAGTCCCTTAAAATACATTTCGTTTTCAAAAGGAGGCCAAGAGGAACTTAATCCCAAGTCATGTTTTTCACATCTGCATCTCTGAGCCTAAAGCCTTTGCTACAATCACTAAATCATTAAAGAACCCTGTTTCTTTGGGGTCAATTATGAAAAATGAAGTTGAAATGTTAGTACTGTACATGGACATGCAGTAGTTGTATTTCTACTACTTTTAATGTACTGTGATTATTGCTTCCATCTTGTCTTGTTATGCACTTTTTGAGTTGCCTTGTGCATGAACTGTGCTTTACAAATAAACTTGTCTTGCTATGTTTGTAACACAGCGCTGTCAGTAATTATAAACGTCATAATTGTCATAGTTAACAGGTCGTGCTCCTCGCTCCTTGGTTCAATCAGAAGTATGCACTGACCCCGTTATTATAGATCCATGACACTGACTTGACTGTAAACGGACCCGACAGAGTTAAAACAAGATATTCCGGAGGATTTGACACCAGAAAAAAATAAGAGAATACGTTGAAGCGTAGAAATGATTGCACGATTAACTCAAGATATTAAAATATACGTTTTCATGAGGTAGAAGTGTAAAAATTTACTGCTGACCTTGTTCCGTTGCTGTTTTCTGCACGCAAGCTCCGCCCACGTGGACACAGGTCCGGCACAAGAGGAGCATGGGAGTTGTAGTTCATGAGAAAAGAATCGAAAGGTCGATAAATGATTCATAACTACGTTTATAAATGAATTAAAAAATATGCATTTCTAAACATACCGTTATGCAGTTCCGTTGTAGATTTTTTTTTTTTACCTATGTGTATTTTGTTATTTTTGTCATTTATTATTACTTCCATATGCAATTCACACAATTTACCTACGTAAGCAAATTTATGATTATGTTTAGATATCTGTTTTGTCCTCTGAAGAACACAAATTATGTTAACTAATGTGCAGGGAAGTGCGATCACTAAGTGTTCTAAAACAATTTTAGAAAAACAAATTTTGGATTGGAACATACTATAAAGTCAATCTCATTGAAAATCTGACTATAAACATTAAAATTAAAGTTACAACTCTTCTCACACTGTAGCTCTGCATTGTGTTACAAAGTGACAAATGAGTTTCTCCATGCAGCAGATGGGGTCCAGTTCTGGGGAAGTCTCTGCCCAGTGAACAGTCACAGTTCAAATTCTCAAATGGCTCCGACTCACTGCTCACGTGTCGTTCGCCAAAACCACCACCAATCTGCACCGTGATGATCCACAAACATATGGGACAAAAATGTTCACCATCTACACAGCATTCATCAACAAACTGGCAATGCTCTTGTGTAATCAGTGCATGGATTGTGGCTGCTGCTAAATCTCCTAAATGGAATAAGCATCTAAAAGACTATACTGCTGTAAAGGTAACACTAAAACATGGCTATAATTTCAAATACTGGAGTAAGCTCAGTGAAAAAGCTAATGTTAGAGTGCTATTAGATTTGATTTATTTTGGGATTCTGCTATTTTATTTGTTAACAGCACTACATGACAAAAGCAGTTGTCTCGAAGGACTTCTACCAACAGCAGATTGGAAAATCAAATAATTGGAACACTTAGTACATCACAACACACAATAGTCACTGGTCCATAAGGAAACGGGCCAAACTAAGTCCATGAATGTCCCGGCGTATCCCCTGTCCCTAAACCCTCCTGCATCAGATTGAGAAAAGTATTTAGCTTCCTGTGCAAAGCTGCTTTATGAGAAATTATGAGTTATTATGAGTTGAGTTGAGTTATTGAAATGATAATTTAACTTAGAAGCAAAGTTAAAATACTATGATAATTTCCCTCATAACCCTACCCTCATTATTATGCTCCTTTTCAATATCTTTCTGTTTTAAGTATGTTTGAAAATATCATTGAACCCAAGTGAATCTTTTCATTGTGAGCTCAGTGCAGTGGGATCTAACGCCCAAAGCCCTCTCCTGTCTGCTGCTCCTCATTAGAGTCGGAGGAGATTGTGTCATTCATCTGTGTCAGTGACAGGTTCAAAGACACTGGACACAGGGGGATAGAGCCAAAGAAGACAGAAAACCACCCACTCCCTGTGACAACTGACCCAGGGAGACACACCAGGCATTAACAAGGCGTTTGATGCATCACCTCTCAATTAGAAATATGTTTCGTGGTGCACTGGTAATGATTTCACTGTTGAGAATAGTTTGGATTATGTTCAGTCTGTGTTAGAGGCTACAAGAATTAATAGTAGTTTGTTTAGTGTGATGTTCCCTTTGTTCTATTAAAACGTTGCTGTATGCTGCCACCTGCTGTCTAAAATGAGACACATCACCACATTTTACTTTGCTGTGATTAGATTGTTTGAGTAGAAGAGGTGATGTGGGAGAGGTTGGTCTCCATGGAGATGTAGAGAGTTGCCTGGAATGTCCCACATTCAACTAAAGAGACAATAGTTTTGTTGAGCATTTATTCCAGTTAATGCAATGAAAGGAAGAAGATCCTCCATCAGGAAAGTTACTTGGTGAACTGTATTTTTCTGTATTTTATTTAGTTTAGTTTATTTCAAAGGAACAATGCACAGGAGCGAACACTTCTGTATGTGTGGCAGTTTTTCAATTGAGTAGTTCCTTTAGGGAAGTTGTTGTGTAAAAATGTCTCCCATGTGAGTAATATTTCTAATGTGTTGTTACTTATTTTGGTGTAACTCAAAATCAGTTTGTCGCCATAACAATAAGAAATGAAATGCTTACAATAAACAACCAGAACAAATGTAATCCAAGAACAATGAAACTGTTTCCTAATGTGATTATGAATGACGTCTCAAGCTTCAAAGTGATGGGATCATGTGATACATATAAATCAATTCATGCAAGTTTTTTTCATTAATTATAATCAAAGTCAATGATTATGAATGATTATTGCATGTTCATGGGTTTCCTCATTATCACCCAAAACATACATCAGGCAGGGCATCAACATGGGTCCAGTGCAGCCTCCACTGCTCATGACATGTAGCCACAAAGACATTGAGGGATGGGTCAAATGCAGAGGAGAATTTCTGTTTCCCTACAAGGACAGAGATATATGTCATCTAAAATATTCTACTATGGTAATATATGTATCTGCGTATCTGAAGAATAATACATGGCATAAAGCGAAACACTCCAGACAAGAGCTCAGAGCGTGAGAGACCAGAGAGAGAGAGACCAGAGAGAGAGAGACCAGAGAGAGAGAGACCAGTGGGAGACTAGAGAGGGACCATAAAGAGACATGTTTATTGCATTTATTGTGGCTTAATTGTAGACTCATATTTTATGAATGTGGCCACAAAGACATTGAGGGAAATGCAGAGGAGAATCTTTGTTTCCCTACAGGGACAGAGATACCTATAATCTACAATATGCTGCTATGGTAGCATATGTGTATCTGTCCTGGGAACCTTGGGAACAAGCAGGTAGCAGGACCATAAATGGCTTTCCTATACTTAGCTGGTGAGATCTATCTGATGATTGTGAGAGTACAGTTTTGGATGGAAACCTCTTGTTTTCCACTATAGGTACAGTAAACATAGAGTTTGAATATAGCGACGTTTCATGGCTGCAGATGCCATAGACTTCATGCTGAGGGTCATGCTAATGTGTTTTGCACGGATTCGCATGACCACGCGGAGCACTTGCTTCTGTTTCATGCACTGACCAGTATAAATGGAAAGCCCTACTCCCCACTAGATTGAGACAAGATACAAGAGGAAAGCTTGACCATGGCCGTGCGGACCATCGTTGTCGTCTGTGCTATTCTCGTGGGAATATCCATTATAACAAGCAGTGCTAAGCCTGATCTAACTCATGCTTACTGCAGGATTGTATGGTAAGATTTATTCTGAACTGTTATGATATTTGAAGTAGCAGTGGATCCTCAATGTTTGTTGGTTTTTTCCATGGTTTTTTCTCACTAAAGGTTGCTTGGTGTACCCTGTGAACGGGTGTCTTTCGCTATAACAACTCAAATCAAAGCAATGGCCTCATACAAGGTAAGAAACTTGCATGAATTCCACATTTTTAGCATAAGATTTCAAACTTTGATTTGTATTACTTCTGCAGCTAGTGGGCCCAGCAACTGCAAGTTTGATCCAAGCCAACCACACCTCCGGGTCAGGACAGTATGAAAGTGTCAACTTCACCATGATTGGGACATCTATGGGGATGGGCTGTCATATTGAAGTAGGTCTATGGATTTTCAGTTTATACATGGCTGCTAAAAATAAATGAAATATTATTGGAATCTGTTTAGGGGTCTTCCATGTCCTCTTTCTGGTACAGCCTCTTTGATAATGGCACCAACTACTGCAACCTTCACAATGTTATTGAAGGTGAGTTTTACTGTTGCACTGGAACTTATATAAACATTACAGAATAACATACACCTTTTCATTATCTCCTTGTAGGAAGTGGACTTTCCCAGGCTCCAGGATTTGTTGAATTCACAAATGAATGGCTTTGCCTTGGAGTTGGAATTTCATCCTGCAACTGATGCTTCAGTTCTGTCCTTACCTGTGCAACAATAACATAAACAACATAATTTAAACATTGTGTGACCCTTTTGGACAATAAATCAATGAGTCTACTGAAGCTTGTTTTTACTTGGTATTTTTTCATTGGTCTTGTAATAATAATTTGTTATGACAAAGCATTTGGTTTACAGTTGACTGTTTATACACATTCATTTGAAATAATTTGAAATAATTAATTTTCACAAAAAGTTGAACAAAAAAATGGCGCATGCTGGTTGAGTATCAAAGTCACATGCTTAATAATTGTATTTCATGGTTTCTTCTCGCTCACAATAATAATTTGTAGGTCTGCGATGAATTATTCATTTGATTAAGATACAGTAACTTAACAAATCCCTCATTCTGATTATGAAAAATAAAGTAAGTACTGTAATCTAAGTAGTAATGATCCATGAGTGTATCTGACCCATGGATGTGACCGTGACGAGGCCTCCTCCTCCCGGTCTCACTGCTCTCTCCGGACCATAGACTGTAAAAATTAACTCCAGACAGCCCAGCTAACGTCCTGCTGGTAACTTTTATTTCCACAAACAAAATAAATAATAAGTTAGAACATGTTTTGGATTGAAAAAGTGCTGCGTAGAAAGGAGACGGAGTTTACATCTCTGAAGAGAGGTTAGTTGCTAATTGCTAATGTTATCAGCGGCTACGGCAGGGCTTCAGTTCAGACCCTGATCTGAGCACATATACAGTCTATGATCTGAGCACATATACAGTCTATGATCTGAGCACATATACAGTCTGTGATCTGAGCACATATACAGTCTATGATCTGATCACATATACAGTCTATGATCTGAGCACATATACAGTCTATGATCTGAGCACATATACAGTCTGTGATCTGAGCACATATACAGTCTGTGATCTGAGCACATATACAGTCTATGATCTGAGCACATATACAGTCTGTGATCTGAGCACATATACAGTCTATGATCTGAGCACATATACAGTCTATGATCTGAGCACATATACAGTCTGTGATCTGAGCACATATACAGTCTATGATCTGAGCACATATACAGTCTATGATCTGAGCACATATACAGTCTGTGATCTGAGCACATATACAGTCTATGATCTGAGCACACATACAGTCTATGATCTGAGCACACATACAGTCTATGATCTGAGCACATATATAGTCTATGATCTGATCACACATGGGGTCAATTAAGTGCTTTAAGCTTAGCAACATGACTGGTCAACATTGTAACTAACCTCAAAGTTATCTGTGTTTATAGGTTTATAACCTAGTTTCTAGTGCTGCACACTAGAATATAACAATTATTTTGATAACAGACCTGTTGGCCGAATATTCTTTCGATGGATCGATTAGTTTAGATCAGTGTTCCCCCAACCTTTTTGAGCAGTGGCACACCTTTTTCATTGCAAACTATCTCATGGCACACAACCTGCTGAAACTTCACACGAAACACATGAACATTTGCAGCATTTAACGCAAAAAAGTCTTTTGAATGTTCTCGCATTATTATCTTTTCACATTTATTTGACAAATGAGCTGATGTGTTCAAAGACACACCAAACAACATATCAAGGCACAGTAACGTTGGTAGAAAAGCACGGGCTTAGATCCTGAAAGGTCAGTGAATATGAGAATGTTTTTGTGCAATACAAGTGACTGAGTCCGTTAGGTTAAAAAATTACCTCAGATTTCAGCACCATTTGACATCTGAAAAGACAGATCGAATGGGGACTTGTCATATATTTACAGACTGTAACTGCTCTTTTTGCATGTTGGACTGACTGACGTGTTTGTGATGAGTTAACTGCACACATTGGTTAAAACATGGGTAGTTATGTTTTAACCAATGTGTGCCGTTTCCAACGATTTGGTTTAACAACCAACTATTGTGTTTTCAGCCTATATTTCTATATCCAATCTATTTTGGTCATAGCACAATGACCAATATAGATTGGTCACTAGTGTGTGAACATTCAGTTCTTAAGGACACAATGACAGTTCCGTGTCATGGTTCTGTTTGTTTTTGGTCTTTCTTTCCAGAGCATGTGTGAGACAGGGGGCGTGGCCGGTCTCTGCTGGGCTGCTGACGAGACACACCTGCATCCACTCACTCCACTCTACTCAGTATATAAACCTGGTCTACTCATCACTCCTCTGCCAGATAATTCCGTCTTATCGGTATTACCACGCCGTGTCTTCACTCTTACCTAGTGATGGCAATATGAAGCCCCATGAAGCCTTGAGGGATCGCAGCCTATTACTCGGCCCATGAGTCGAAGGCTCGAGGTGAATCATGCTCCACTACGCCATCATGTGGACAAAGAAATACATAACACTCTTAAGTGCTTACAATGAATGGTGAGATCTAATGTTAAAATGTATATTTACAATCTATCGTCTAACGTGTTGTGTTTGAAATGATGCTTCATGAACTATGAACTATTTGAGTTTTCAGTCAATTGTGTTGATACAACAAACACATCCAAAGTAATACAGTTCTACAGAAAGTGATTAATGGAGGAAAAACTACCAAGAGGTGGATTAATTAAACACAACAAACCATTTATTCCCAATAAATAAATACATTTACTTTGCAACACAAAATGTATTATGGGTAGACCGGGATTCAAACCTATATCTTCTACTTCGGAGTCCGTCATAGACCGACTGCGCCACACAGCTGTTCTGAAATGTATTATCCAGCGTATTATTACTAATAACTTGAAGCCTTGATATATGAGGTTTTACTAAAGTGAAACGTTTTTAATTGTATTTCATATGAAGTTGTTTCTCTATACTTAGTACAGGACTGCTCCACATCACGCACACACACGTACGCACACACACGTACGCACACAGAGGCAGACGGGGACAGCCAATACAGTCTATGGTACAGCCGCGGATCACAAAGCACCTGTCAAAGCAATGCACTCTCCGAACTATATGAAGCACTATATGAACCGTGACGTGGTGCGGCCGCTACGCGAGGCTTCGAACGTCACCAACACACGCCTCGAACCACGCTTCAAAAAATACGCCCCTTTTTTACTCGGTACACGCTTCGAAGACCACCGGCACGCTCAGCACATCGCTACTTGTTACAATTCCAGATCCCGTGCTCGTCCAGTCCTCCTGTCTCTACTCTGCTCTTCGGCCGGCCTGCTCCCTGTCTCCACTGCTTCAACCATTTTTGAGTATTTTTGTATTTTTGGTTATTAAAGACTTTTGTTAAACTGCTTTGGCCTCCCTCTGCTTTGGGGTTCGTAAACTAAACCATAACAGAATTATCTGGCCAATATGAACCCCGCAGAGGCCGAGAGACTTAACCAAGCACTGTTTGAGACTGAGAAAGCCATTAAGGCTCTCGCTGCACAAGGTGCTTTGGTGAGACAACATGGCCAAGCCATTTCATCAGTAATGGAGTCGCTAAAGGACCTCACAGCTGGAATTCATCAACTTGGAAATCGACTTAATGATGTTTCTATTCAGCTTACAGCCATGGCTGCTAATCAAGCTCAAGCTCCAGACTCCGCCCAGTCCTCAGCACCTGCCCCGCTGCCACCTGCTCCTGTCCAGCTTCAGTCTACACAATTTCGTGAGCCCTTCATCCCCACTCCCAACAGATATTCAGGAGAGTTAGGCATGTAAGCAATTCCTTCACCAGTGTATGTTAGTTTTAACACAACAGCCCTACATGTACTGAACCGAACAGTCCAAAGTAGCCTTTATCATGAGTCTGCTTTCTGGCAAGGCCTCAGCTTGGGCAGTAGCATTAGCTAATGCTAGTTCTCCTGTGTGTAACACCTTAGATACATTTACAACAGAAATGTTTAAGGTTTTTGATCACCCACTTCAGGGTAAGGAGGCTAGCAACAGGCTTTTGTCTTTGAGTCAGGGTTCTGGGTCAGTATCTACATATTCAATTGAGTTTCGGATTTTAGCTGCAGAATGTGGGTGGGACGATAAGGCCTTACAGGGCCTTAGGGAAGAGGTTAAAGACCAACTAGCAGCAAGAGACGAGACGGCGACTCTAGAAGAGCTTATCGCTTTATCGATTAGGCAAGATAATCGCCTCCGTGAGAGACGTAGGGAAAGAACAGTCAGGCACAGTGCCCATATCCCTCGTACCCACTCCAGCTCTCCAGTTCACTTCTCAGTGAATTCTGTTCCTCGAGCCACTGCCCCTTCAGGAGAACCCAGAGCCAGGACGACAGAGGAGCCCATGCGGCTTGGAAGGATGCACTTGACCCAAGAGGAGCGCCAGCGTCGTCTCAACCAGGGTCTCTGCATGTACTGTGGTCAAGCGTGTCACACTCTGTTCAACTGCCCGACTCGGCCAAAAGACCAGGCTCGCCAGCCGCAAGGGGGGGCACTGGTGAGCCGTACTCCTGTCGACCCCTCTTCGAAGCTCAAAGGTACTGTTTCATTCAGTTCCACTTCGGTCCCGGTTCAGGCTTTAGTTGACTCCGGTGCAGATAATTTCATTGACTCTGAGTTTGTGTCCCAGGCCAAAATCCCCAAAGAGGCCCTCTCAGATCCCAAGAGTTTTTGCTTTAGATGGTAAGCTACTAGCTCTCATTACTCACCGTACTGTCCCTGTATCCCTCTTGGTTTCAGGCAACCATTGTGAGTTAATCTCCCTGTTTGTTGTGACCTCTCCATCAAACCAAATATTCTTGGGCCTCCCCTGGCTCAAGCTTCACAATCCTCACATTGACTGGTCCACTCAATCAGTTCTTCTCAAGGCCTGTGGACCTGTCTCTAGTGCCCCCGGAGTATCGTGACATCAAAGAAGTCTTCTCTAAGGATCGTGCAACTTCTTTGCCCCCACACAGGCCTTATGACTGTTCCATTGAACTGATTCCTGGTGCTCCGTTACCTACCCGTAAACTGTATAACCTCTCCAATCCAGAGAGGGAGGCAATGGAGACTTGCATCACAGAGAGCCTAGCGGCTGGACTTATTCGTCCTTCCTCCTCACCTGTAGGGCCAGGTTTCTTTTTTGTTGACAAGAAAGACAAGACCCTTTGCCCGTGTATTGATTTTAGAGGTTTGAATGACATTACTATAAAGAACAAGTACCCGCTTCCACTCATAGACTCAGCTTTCAGCTCTTTAAATCATGCCACAGTGTTTACTAAACTTGATCTACGTAATGCTTATCATTTGGTGAGGATTAAAGAGGGGGATGAGTGGAAGACGGCGTTTAAAGTGTCTTCACTCTTACCTGAGTTTTTGGATTACTCACCTTCTTGTTACAATTCCAGATCCCGTGCTCGTCCAGTCCTCCTGTCTCTACTCTGCTCTTCGGCCGGCCTGCTCCCTGTCTCCACTGCTTCAACCATTTTTTAGTATTTTTGGTTATTAAAGACTTTTGTTAAACTGCTTTGGCCTCCCTCTGCTTTGGGGTTCGTAAACTAAACCATAACATTCCGCACATTATAGTCGCAGCTGCCTCACAGAACTAACCAAGCCCTGTCCTGTAGATGCTTCTGAGGCCTGACAGGATCAGGCTTTTCACAGGCAGATGGCGCCACAATAGACTTACAACATGTCGTTAAGAATAGTGAGCAGACTGTGGTTATTTCAACCAATCTAGGTTGGCATCCTGCTTAGATTGTTTAAATGGACATAAACTTTGAACGAGCCATAAAGAGCCGGCCATCGTGTGCTGCATGTGATCATGCGCTCAGATCAGCTCTGATGGATTGGATCATTCTCTACACATCTGACTGTGGTCAATGTTAATGCTGTGCCTCATTATGAGAACGCAGAACACTGTCCTTATTGTTTCCTCTTGAAAGTGTTTAAGTGGATCTTTGATTACGGCTTCTTGATTTTATATGGACATAATTTTGCACATTGTCTAAAAGTCTTGCATTTGCAGTTGATTGCATTGTTTAACACTACATTCTTTTAATCACAAACAACATTTGCAGAATTTATTTTTACCTGTAGGGCTGTCTGTTATCTGAAAGATTAGGAGGCAAGCTGACAGTAGATTGTGAAAGGCTTCAGGTCTACTGTGATAAAGAGAATATATAGGATAATATACATGCATGTCATTATCAGGTTTATTACTGTAATAAACATTTGGAGAAATGTCTGTGACATGAGGTCATAACAGGTACATAATATGGTCTTTAGATATAACTGAACAGCTGTTCCATGCAGATCACAGCTGTAGAAATGTCCTAGTCCTTCTAGTAAACACGTGACAACGGTGCTACAGGAGCCAAAACAGGCCCCACATACGATCATGGCCCCTCCTAGTGAAAAACGTGTTTTTAAATTTTTTTACTGGTATTGTCCTAGTTTATTTTTCATTTCAATGCTGGGATTTTTCTCTTTTTTTCATAAAGTTGGCAGATGCTGCTGTCAACAAATTATTATTTAAACACATAAATAAAAAAAATATAAAATATTTAATAAAATGCGTTATGAGTTTTTACCGACCCAGAGAGCACAACCCTCAAAAGAAACCCAGTTAAGATGAATAGTTCTGTGCGACGCTGTCATATTAAAAATGCATATAAGGAAGAAAAAATGCCAGGAATGAATATAATAATTTAGTCTCATCACTTCAAACACAAGTGGATTTCATTTAACATAACATCACAGTAGGCAATAATGCAGTACTTTTATTTACTATACCTCATTCATTCATTATGAATTGAAAAAAATAAAATTCCTTCTTCCAAAGGCTGAACTCTGCGGCAATTTTTCACTGAAAATCAGCATTGGACTTGAAACACAGCCCACACGATCAATATAAAGATATTAGTTTGGGAGAGAGAGTCTGCACAGACTATGTTTTTAACCTTTAGCATGTTGCACACTGCATGTCTTTTTTGCACAATGTGTGATTCTATCTATGCCAAATGTGAAATGTAAAATTCTCCATTGTGATAAATATTTCTTATCTTAACTATACATTAAGTTTATATTCATCATACTCTACATCAGAAAGAAAAAACACATTATTTACTTGGGTTGCAACCATTTTATTGAGGTTCATTGTTATTATATTGATTACAGTCTAGTAGGAGTTTATTTGAGCAGTTTTACAATGTATTTTTACAGATACATTATCGTAACAAAATAACAAGATAAATGAAACAGTAACGTGAGCTACGGTTTACAAGTGGCCAGTCCGTAACCCAGACAGGCCCACTCATTGGTCAGCTCCAAGAAGTCGGGCTGGATGTTGAGTCCACTCGCTGAAACACAAGATGCACAAGCCACAAAACAAATATATCAATATAATCAAATTTAACAATTTATATAATACATTATATTCCATTCTTAATGGTGGGGATGTATCAGAGAGTGGATCATGTGAAGTTAAAACGTTACCTCTGTTGTCACTGTTGAGGTCGGCTTCTTACAATAACAAGTTTATAGATTAATCGCAGCGAATCGGTTTTTGAACTAGTTTCAGTAATTTAAGATTTTAGTTATTTGATAATTAGTGTTTTTTAACATTCAGAGAGGAATACATTCTTTTAGTAATTGTTAGGACCTCAGCAGAGTTGTAACCAGTGCAGAATGTTGTGACTTTGGAACAACAATTTAGACTTTTTGATGTGATACAATTTTATTTTATTTTATAAGCAGATTTTATTTTATCTTTCAATATATTTATTTTTATTTTTTCAAATGTTAGATTTCCACAAATACTTGGACAATGTATTTCAAGTAAAGTATGTGACAGGACTTACAAAAATCACCGACCAATTATTGTGTTCTAAACATTTAATCAATTAATCAAAATGATTCATAGACAAATAGATTATCAAAATAATTGTTAACTACAGCCCTCCAATAATAAGGAACTATTCTGGCCCGACATGGTTGCAGTAAAGCAGGATCACTACAATGACAGTCCTGATATCGTACGTGTATTGTAGTGATTTGGTTTATGTTATGTTTATAGAGACAGATCCACGTGGACTCACCCGACAGCAGACTGTAAAGGTTGCAGTAATTCAGTCCATTGTCCAAGAGGCTGGAGAAGGCAAGAGACTGAGACTGGGCCTGGAAAAAGAAATGCAGAGTTGAATTGCAAAGCACCTACTGAACATAGATTTGAGTTTATTCCAAGAAAATCAATAATTAGTAATTTATTATGTTTTTTAATGATGATGTTATTTAATCAGAATTGTAAGAGGAAGTCACAAACTATGGATTTGCTTTGGCCTTTGATGCAAGTCAAAAATAGACATAAATACACGGATACAAATATGAATACATAAATACACAGAATAGACATATAACAGTGCACGTTATAAAATCAAGAATTTTGGGATTACGGAGTGGCAGAAGTATGACGATTGTTATGGGCCAGGACCTGACAATTATACTCTGTTATACTAAAAGCTTTTCAGACAAGAGACACTCAGGACTGCAGTGGTTTGTCAAACAATTGTCAAATAATGCAATTATCCATAATCAATGAGATTATAATAATTCCTATTGTAAACGCAGCGGTTAGTGTTTGTCCTTAACAGCAAGAAGGTCCTGGGGTTGCTTGCCGACGGTGCCTTTCTCTGTGGAGTTTGCATGTTCTCCCTGTGTCTATGTTTCCTCCAAGATAAAAATGAAACAATTATCAATGCTGATATTTAACTACAGTCGAACCTGGACAAATCGCACACAAAAACGGACACTGTTAAAATGATAACTTTAAACAACATTCACAGATGTCACCTATATGCAAATAAACAGGAATTGGTCCAATAAGACAGACCTGGAAATGCCTGGTATTACTTTCTTTATATTTTAATGAACAGCGGTTTTGTCCAACTAAAAAAAAAAACGTAATAAAATAATCTTGCAGCCTTAGTGTCCCGATATATGTTTAGTCTGATTAAATGTAATCTCTGCGTGTTGTCTTTGTAGGAGTGACTCACAGCTACACGACAGCCTCCGGACATAACCGTGGGGTAGAACCTGAAGATCAGCCTCTCCGTGGTGAGTCCGTCTGCGGAGGAGTGGTTGGCCTGGATGTACTGAGGCGTCACTGACACCAGCTACAACACATTACACATCACTTTACTCATACTTCCATATAGAGATCAGAGCAGGAAGTCTTCTGGTGGTTCCTACTAGGAGTGTAAGTATTTCAATAATTGGTCACTTTAGATCAAGGTCAGTCAATATGGGACGTTTTGTACATTGGGGATAAAAACAAAGCACAAGTGATGTCCCTAGAGAGATGACTTGTTACACATTGGGTTGTTTGTTTGAGAATACTTTAAAAAAAATAATAAGAATATTTCTGCAGTCATTATAGAATTATCCGAGTTAAAAATCGTAGGAGCAAATCCCTCTCTCAATATGGGCATCCCAGAGGTTTTTTTTTTCCACTGTCTTCTGTGTGTGAGTTAATCCTTGCAGATTCAGGAGGGTCTGGAGGACAGTTATGATCTGGGACATTTATGGACATTTATATACATTTATGGACATTGGTCATCCTGCTCTCTAGACCTATGGCTCCTGTGTGTTTGTTATTATCACTTTTCTTGTGTTTAAACTGTTTGCTATAATTTTCTACTAAACTAAGAAACAGAAAGATTGTTAACTGGTTAATGAAAAAACACGTATTTATTTATTATTCATTTATTTTTTTGTATTATTGCTTTTTTTTTTGTATTTTCTCACCGTGTAGTGGCAGTCAGCACACCCTAATGCAGGACTAAAAGCTTGAATCTGGCGCTCTAACTTGGTGCTGATTTGAAGACAAGGAGTTGCAAAAAGCCTGAACAAAAAGACAGATATAGTGTTATTTTAGGTAACACACATTAGGACAGATGTGAATGATGGGTACTCACCATATGGATTTGCAGAAGGCGTGGTACGGGATGGGGAGCGGGCTCTCGGTGGCAGTGAGGACTCCCACACCAAAGAGCCCCATGAAGAGAGCGGAGGCCAGGAGCAGGGTCCTCATGGTGAACAGGTCAGTGCCTCAAGTGCTGCGATCAGCCACATTTATAGGAAATATGAGGCTCGTCATACGATCTGATTGAGCGTCCAGATTTCATCAGTCAGGCCTCACGAGTCTTGTGCTTATTGTTGGACTGGGAAATTGCTATTGCACTTTCCACCGTGTAACAATAAAGACACACCATTGTTCAATTCAGAAATTTGTCATCAAGACTGAGACTTTTTAATTTGGCATAGCTCGTAGCCAGTGTTGGAAGTAACTGGTGATTGATTTTTAATTACTGTATATTTATAATAATGTATCCCTTTTGTTGTACCAGTTACTTCATACTGTAGTTCATTATAAAAGGGAAATTGGTAATATATTACTAGTTACAATCAAAGTAACTCTAGTTAGATGCACATAAGTGTAAGTGCACATTTGCTTTGTTTTTTTCACCATTGGATATTATTTGATGAAACAAAGACATTCGATACAATTAGTTTCACTTGAGTGTCACTAGTGTTCGACTGACGTTGGTCATTCAAGTGAAATTAGCACTCGTCTGTCAGTGTGAGCGACCAAAGTGCTCTGGACCAAAATAACTATTGTAAGTAGAGTCACTAACTTTCAAATCAGCCATATTCTAATACAAATGTTTCCTTTTTGTTTGAATCCAGTAACGAGTAGTAATGTAAATATTTTATGAAGATGACTAAGAATGTGCAAAATGTTTTTCTGAAGCTCAAACAGAGCAATAACTAAAGGGACTTATATCAAAGGAAATCCATGATCAAGTTACGTGAGGGAAATACGTGTTGTTTTATCAAATCACTTGATCTTGCAGTTATTGCATCTTATTAAGACTGTTCCTGAAATGTTACTTTTGAATGTTGGTCATGATTGAGATAAACCTGTCGGAAAGAGAGATAAACTATTTAATAACATTTCATTCACACACACACACTATAGAGGCCTTCAATCAATGTGTTTTATCCTCAACTGTTTTTAAAATATAATTTGAAAATACTCTCTTTACAATATAAGTCAATTTACATTTTTATCTAATAATTGCTTTAGAGAAATTAATCAGCCCGAATGTCTATGGCTTTGCTTCCTTGTTATTCCTTGTATAAATGTGATTTGGGAATGACTCTTCTTCAAACCCTTTATCATTGCATTTAGTTAATAATTCAGACTTGACCAGCTTAAGTTAGACTTGTTCACATTTATTCCAGTTCAAAATTACTGCGTGGTACATTTGGTAAGAGCGATTGCTGGACAGACCCACTTGTTTGTTTTGTCTAAAAACCCAGGCTGCAAGTCCAGTCCACTTCCTGCAAAAGACAACATCAGAATGTGTACAGTAAGTACAGGGTTCAGACAGTAGAGGGCACTGGTTTCACAGCTCCATCATGTTCTGCTCATAATCATCTCCATCATATTGAGTGTGACACAGACAGTCGATGAGTGTGAGTGCTCAAACGGGCAGATTTAGTTTTATTGTCCTGATCAGAGATTATAAAATGCAAACAGAAAGCAGCCACACAATTGGACAAAAACAATATTGTACGTTGGCAGTTTAATTAAACAAGCTAATGTTAGTAATTATATTTTCAATAGATTGTGAGTGAAAGTGAAGCCATTACTTATCTTTTGCGCATAAGATTCATATGGCAAGTGTGTGGACAGAATCTCTTAAGTTTAACATGTCAGTAATTAGTTTATACAATTATTGTGTGAACTTCATAATAATAAAAATAATAATACATTTTGTTTAAAAGCACCTTTCTAAACACCCAAGGACACTGTACAGGACATAATAAAATCATTGAAAAAGGAGTAACAGAATAAAATAATTATGGCACTATGTTCACATGAACGCCTTATCCTGTCAGACCTCAGAAGCTAAGCATGATGAAGCCTACTGTGATGGGAGACTATTGGAGGAACCAGATGCCACATTGGCTGTGGCACCCACTGTACCAAACTGTCATGGTGTCCTTAGGCAAGCCACTTCACCCACCTTGATTCATATGAGTCTAGAGTGTGTCGGACAGACCAATTAACAACCTAGTTTCTGTCAGTCTGTCCCGGGGCATCTGTGGCTACACTGTACATAGTGGGATGTGTTTGTCTTGCATTTGTGTAACAAACCTGTGAGAAGATTATAAATGTTACAGTAGTTGATAGCGTCATCTGTTGTTGTCGTTGGTCCAATAGACTGAGACTGGACCTGGAGAGGAGCATAGTATTACTATGTATTAATCCAATGATAATAATAATAACAATCCAATAGTAACAGAGACAACAGCCGTCACTTTTGTTTAGGTATTTGTATGGTGTTGAATTGGGAAATCAAAATACATACATTCATCAATAAATGTGGATGTCTGATACTTACAAACATCTGACAGCCCGGAGCCAATAAACTGGGGGTGAATTTGAAGGAGATGGTCTCAGCCCCAAACCCATCGGCAGATGTGTGGTCCACCGTGAGCGTCACATTGTCAGCTGACACAAACTTCAAACAAATAGAACATTTGAATTATCTGGAAAACATCAATTATCTATGCATTTTTGCTTTTACAAATATACAACCCAGGGCCTGCTCTAGAAAATAAGCAGAGTAAGCAGTCACTTTGGGCCCTTTAGCAATCAGGGGCCCCATAAGAGTAGCTTCAGTTGTTTAATGCTTCCCACTTTACACAACTATCTATCTACTATAACCCTTAAATGCTCACTCCTTGAAGAAAGCATGTCAATTTTTCTTTTTTGTGATTGTCTAAGATGTAGAAGCACTAATAACAAAAAAAATGTGTTTTCATATTTATTAGAAACCCTAGTTCTATAATTTACAGGCCTTTACCAAATGGTTGAGATGCAGCTTGATGGTACAAGTGCCTAAAACCAAGATAGCGATGTCCTAAAGAGGTAGATTTCAGTTCCAAGCTTCAAGTAGATATAGTGACTCAAAAAGTGAACCACTAATCGGTTAACACAACGTATGGGAAAATAAACATCCAACCAGCTGTTATTAATGCTATAATATATTTTTTTAGCCTATGAATTAAATTTTCCATACAGCTGTATTCATGTTGCATATTGTACAATTTCAACCCAGCACGAACGCCAGATGTAATTTTTGGCCCCCTTCTTTCATCTTTTAATTATTACTCTTACTTTCCTTTCTATAAACAAGTGCTTTTTACTGTTGTGCTTCGGTCATGATTTTTTTTATATATACTAAAGAACCGACTTCTTAATTAAAAGCCTCTTTACATCTTTGAGCTTGTGAGCCACCCTCTGCAGCCTTACCAAGTAGTTGCAGTCGCCACAACCAGCATTTGGACTGAAGACTTTGACTTGTTGAATGAGGGTACTGTTGATTTCGGCACATGGAGTAGTGAAGAGCCTATGAGACAAATTCAGACAAAATTAATCTCATAATCAAGCGCAACACTAGACGCTCATTCCAGTTAATAAAAAAATTACCACTCACCAGATGGCCTTGCAGGAGGATTGTACTGGAGCTTTGGTTGGTCGTGGTTTTGGTGTAGGTTTTGGGTTGGGACCCGCGAAGAGAACCGCACACAGAGCAGCGGCAAGAGATAGAACCAGTACAATCCTCATCCTGAATTGTCTCTAGTCTAAATGGGTCCTTCAGATGTGACTGTGACTGAGGCGAGTCCCTTGGAGGTGGGGTCCGGGTCTTTGCTCTTGTGATCATCACCTCTCTGCAAGAATAATCTCAATTTTCTCAGTTGTTTGATAATGGCTGCCTCAGGACATCCTAACCAGTGTCCTCTGTTAACATGGAATAAATCCATGATCTAAACTCTTAACAGGAGTTTGATTAAAAACTCTTTACATTAGTACATTTGTCTTTGAGTAGTAACATAAAGCTGGGATAGCTTTCCCCCCAAATGTTGTTTGCCTCAACAGAAATACCAGAATTTAAACCAGACCAAAACATGATTCAATTCAAATCAATTCATTGTTTTCTTGTATGGCCATAAACAGCTGTTAAATCTCGAAGGACTTTACACAACCATTGAATTTGTCAACACAGATCAGAGAATCAAACAGTTCGAACTCAAGAAATAAAACGGATAACACTTTGGTATTGGTCCATAAGTGTTGATGATGTTGTCATCGTTTGCATAAGAGCCCCGTGAGTCACAGTTTGAGTCACTTTCACTTTTCTATCTGAACGAAAAAACAAATCTTGAGATGTGACAAAAAATACAGAAAAAATTACATACATGTGAAAACTAGGGATAGTGAGGCACAAGTTAGATGGATTTTATCTAACTGGCTGAGTGGATAGCAAGAAGGTCCTGGGTTCGAATCCCGGTTGGACCAGGGCCTTTCTGAGTGGAGTTTGCATGTTCTCCCCGTGTCTGCGTAGGTTTCCTCCGGGTGCTCCGGTTTCCCCTACCACTAAAAATATGTACAATAGGTCTGGCAGGTGCCTCCTGTTCTGGCACCCCCACTCCAAACAAAACTGCAAGTTTTGTTTTAATTTATTGAAATGTCAATTTGAGACAAGGCAAGTTTATTTTTGTAGCACCATTTATACACATGACAACTCAAATGACAACTTATTTTTGAAACAAGAGAGGAAAGACAAACATACATACAAGTAATGAAATGATAATGAGAATAAATCATGAACATCATTTGTAAAATTGTTCAGGTATTGTTCCTTCTTGTCATGAGTTTGGAGCTAGGAGGATTTCTCTGCTGTGGAATTGTCTGTTCTATTGTGACTAAATCATGTTTGACCTGGAACCAAATTGTAGCACCTGATTTGTCTGTGTAAAAAAAATAAAAGAAATCTCTACATATTTACAGATATTTCTTTGGATGAACTAATGTATGAGCTGAAAATAAATATAGTATAATATAATAAAGAAGCTCAATGAAAAAAAAAACACAACAAGCAAATAAACAAAAAACAATTGAATTCATTATGTAAGGATCGGTTATGTACAACTGAAACTCTAATAATATTATTTAATTATATTCATTCTAATATCGTCTGAAGGTTCAATTACTTCTGTAATTCAACTTACAATGTGAAACTAATATAATAAGAAAATAACCTTTATTTGTTATTAGGTTGATATTTGTTCCACAGCCTGTAAAAAACACAAATTAAACCTCTCAGAAAATTTGAATATTTTGAAAACGGACGGTCAACCATAATAATAAAAAAAATTTCATTCAAAGCCATATGTCAATTAGATTTAATGAGGATATATAATACATCAGTTTCCCATTTTAAGTGGAATTAGAGAAACTATATTCTAGTTTTCGGAGTTGTGACTGCAAATACGGCAAAGAGACAATCGGGCACTTACCACACACATTATTTTCCTTCCCTGGAGTCGTTCTCATGCAGACAGGACATGACCATACTGCATTGTAGCCGAAAGCCCATTCGATTGTGATCATAATTACCATCACAGTCACATGCCCGCCACATGCACCTTTCTATTCAATGCTTTAGTTTCCGTCCCGGGCCCAAAACAAATTGGTTATCGTCTCCATTACCTGCTCCCCCACTGGAGGCTTGGTCCTCAGTCTGACTAAAGTATAAATGCGTCTCAGTCACACGTCCTCTGTTAAACTCAACCTCAACCACAATGAAGACGCTGCTGCTGACTCTGGCGTTGTCTGCTGTGTGTGGCTCCATCTGGGCCTTACCTGCCCCCACGCCTGCTCCATACCGTGCCTTTTGTAAAACCATGTGGTAAGTATAAGCTCATAATACCTCAGTTTGAATACCCATTTTAGATTTCCATTCTATTACTGTCAAATATACCTCTGCTACTGTACGTTGGAGGTAAAGGCTCAATGGGAAGTTAAACAAAACAAGTATGCAAGGAGTGAAGTAAATGTAGCACCTTTCATATGTTGTTTGTTCAGACAGAAAGAGCCTTTTGTGAACAAGCAGACCAAAACATAGCATAGGAAGGTCCATCTTGTGTTCTTAGTAGAATTAAAAGTATTTGGTTCTTCAATACCAGACGACCGTAAGTTATGACGTTATTACCGTGCCATGTTTTGACTATATACTTCTCTAGCTTACGGTTGTCTGGTATAGAAGAACCAAATCCTTTCAGACCTAAACTGTCCTGTCTGCATCTTTATAGAGCACATTTCATCTTCTACATACTGAGAATAATTTGCTGATAGAAGGAGGACTGGTACTCTCTTTTTTTTCTGAATGAGCTGATTTAAAGAGGGCTGTTTATATTAGTATAAGCTAGCTACCCCAGCTTTATTACGGTACGTTTTGCGCTGTGCTTGTTTGCAACATTCACATTGCAGCACAGTAGAAGGTAGTGCTATAGTAACCTAATTAACAAGGGCTTCTTTATCTCAATGGGACTTTCCTGGTTAAATAAAGGTTAATACAAAAAAAAAAACGGTGCAATGTCAACTTCCTTTTTCCATGTAAAATAAATAGATTTAATTTATGGTGAGTGCTGCAGAGGGTACGAGTAGTATAGGCATAAATAACAGGTGCTCTTCAAAGACGGGGCAATCTAAGCAGATTTAGAATGTCAAAAAGAGAAAAAAAGAAGTCTGAGGCACTATGTTATAGTGAAAAAATAAAAGTCCTTAATTAAAATGCGGTTTCGTCAGGGCATCAATTTAATTTCTTCTTCTTTTTTTAGGCTTTTTGACGCCAACTGCTCCGATATCAGCATTGTGTTGGTAAAACAGATTCAGTCCTTCGCCCCAGAGATCGGATGTGAGATGTGCCACTACACTGTAAGATTGTCCTGCCTCTACAGCTCGGCCTCTGTGTTGCAAAAATCTGATTGAGTTGTTTTCTTGTTGTAGCTGGTGTCTGTCACGCCTCAGTACATCATGGCAAACCACACGTCTCCAGATGGACTCTACACTGAGATGATCTCCATTGCTTTCTTCCCCACCATGGTGCCTGGAGGCTGCAGAGCGTCTGTAAGTCCTCAGCGTTCAATGTACACATGCATTTTTATGATTTAATCTCATTATCAATATATTGTGTTCTTGACCAATACAATTCTATGGGAAATAAGCAATTTAAATATATATATATATATAAATTAAAAGATTTACAAACCGGCCATATTAATCTGCTGGCCAACATTATGTATAGATGTTTTAAGTATTGTCACCACTGCCAGGCATATTTGTGGAAAAACCATTAGAGAGCTTAGAGAGCCAAAAAAGTCTCATACTTTAAAATGTATTTCTGTGGGAGCCATCCATATATTTTTGCTGTAAATATATGTGATTTTTTTTATCAATATCAAGAAATTCAGCATGTAATATCAGTCCCAGCTTGTATTCTTTTGTTTTATACATTTTATACTGAATAAATCTAATACATAAATCATTCTTACTATTAGTGCCTACGGAAATTTGTCTCACATCCAGACAAAATGATCAAAAAAGCCACAACTGAACAGAAAATCAACTGCAAAGCAAGACTTGAAATCAGACTTTTTTTACCCATAAATATTTTAAAGCTGCCCTCCACCACAATGAGACCCTAAATGCTCTTGGGATACCATATTAAACTATTGATAAACTTTAGAAACAGTTACTGGAAATGGGCTTTTGTGTGTGTATTTCTGGAATATTTACACTTTTGTCTGATGATGTATGTAGTATATGGCCATGCGTCCTTCTCCATCTGTTTTACTGTGACAACAACCTGCTCAGGGAGTACAGGTGTAAATTAGTATTGTACCAGGTTATAACCCCTGCTGGTACAATGCCTTTCTCCTTTTGTCTAATGTCCGTTGTACACTGTCCCTCTAAGAATAAAAATCATACCATACCATACCATAAGACTAGACCTTTAATATAATACTCATTAAAAATAGTGGTGAAAAACAAAGAATGGAGACCCCAAAAGACACAAAATAAACAACAATCCTACTATTATTCAAGGTTATCTTCTTCTACTTCTAGGCTGTTTCCCAGTCTGTTCTCTTCTCTGCTTCTCTTCTCGACAATGGAGTGAATTATTGTAATCTTCACAATCTGGTGACAGGTAATATTCTAATCTTGTATGGATTTTAAACTTTTTATATAAAATCTTTGAAAAAACTGCTTTATAATCATGTTTGTTTTTGTGTTTTTAGCCAGTGGCCTGTCCTCTCAACCAGACTTCCTGGAGATGACAAATGAGTGGGCTTGCCTGAGCGTCGGACTGGCAACTTGTGGGATGTAGCAGGCTGCAATCAGGCCTTACAGAACTGTGGAGCCGATGTTCATTTAAAAGTCATTTCAACTGTTTTATTCTGTACTACATGTAACATCAGTGGAATGTATTATTATTAGTTTTATTAAAAATAAAAGTTTTGAGAAAATACATTACTTGGATTATTATTTTGTTCATTGACTTTGTTTAATACAAATCCAACAAATCAACTATTGCAAAAAAAAATTATTTTTTGCATGTGTATGATGAGACATTTCACGCCTGTTGCATGACGAAACCAAAATATTTCAAAAGCCAAGATAAAAGCATTGCTAAGAAAGACAATATCAATTTGGTTTATCTTTATGGACCAAGGACTGTTCTCTTTGTTCATTGTTTGATTTTCAACAATCCTGAGACATCCTTAAATGTGGCCATTAAGTTAACACAAATAAATGGGTTAACTTACAAATACACACACGCACCCACCAGTGGGGGAGGGTCCCAGCTCAAAAGTGGCCAAAATGACGTGCGCTGACATGCTTGCAATACCACCCTGGGCCGATGGGGGTGGACCCGGAATAAGAATTAGCCAATGCTAACATATAGCATTGGCAGACCTCTCGAAAACACCTTTACAGGATGGACCAAAAGTTGGCTCTTGGCCCAAAGCTCCGTTCCACATGTGTGTCAATGCTGAGGGGGGTGGAGTTGCGGCGGCTGACGCATGCGCCGATGCGTTTTTTCACAATTTTCTTGTGGGCGGGACCACTCGCGGCCATTTTGGATAGCTCCAGTAGAGCACATTTTTTGGCCCATTAGTTAGAACGGCGGAGATTAGCGTGACTCTGTCCATTAATATACAGTATACAGTCTATGACACGTACACACAAACACTAAATGCAAAAAGGAAGCAAAACTAAGGCCGAGGGCTGTAACAACGACTGCTGTTGTGACTCAAAAATATATTTATTTTATTTGAATATTTGTACATCAGACCATATTCCTGTTATTATATGGTCTTATTTTTTATCACACAGCTTGACACATGCTATAACTGTGCCTGCGATGTATTGAGTGCTGTGCAAGTTAATTGTAAGTAGTAAGTAATCTTTATTGAAATAGCACCTTTCACAGACGCAGAGGCACAAAACTCTTTGAAATGTTTGACATTTTTCTTCTCTACTGTTGTGAACTAGGGATTCTTAATACTGTTGAAACTGAACACAACTTGGTTAAGCAGAAAAGTTTAATGACAAAGCACTGACTCAGGCTATGACGTTGTTGTCACATTTAGGTTATTGTCCAAATGAATCGGTGAATAAAAGTACTCTTGACAGACCCACATGTCATCACATGCAGTCTTGAGTTTCACACCTGACGACAATACTCTGACTGTTTCACAGGATGCATTTATAAAGCATTTCTCTCATGTGTTTCACGCCTCATTGTGAGAATTATCTTGTCATGCTATCGTCAGAACAGACAAAAAATTCTGGCAACAATATAAGTAAGAAATGCTAAAGTGCAAGGGTAACTTTAATTTTTATATCTTAGAAATGTATGCTGATTATTTACTATGCCTTACACAATTCTCTACCTCTCTTCTTTTGACTGTTTTCACTGTTAGCCAAAGCAATTTCCTGGTCTGTGACTTCCTACTACTTACATGGCAATAATCCTTTCTAATTCTGATTCTGAAGCCCCTCCCTGTTGGTCACTGGTCTATCTGCATAAATCCATTCATTTTCTTCTGCTTTATCCATTGCCGGGTCTTCAGCCCCTCCAAATAATGTGTAGTTCAAAACAATAAAATAATAATAATTTTGAAAAACACAAGCACCAATGAGATTTTCTACAAAGATTTTTACAGACTATACTATTATATTCATTAACAAGATTCTGGACAACTTTTTGTTTTTTTCTTTGTATTTGTATATTTTAAGTATGATTATCAACCATTATCATTATTCCAGCTATATTTGATTTAGCCTGATGCATGGTTTAATCCATTTTCATCAGGATTATGACTGGTAATCTGAACTGGTTTAGTGTAAAGCCCATAGTCCCTGGATATTCATACTCTGACCTACATGAAACAATGGCTCCACTGAATGTCGACGGGGTTGGATAAAGTCACACTGATACAACCACTATAAACAAAGTAAACCATGTAATATAGTAGGTAAACCAGTATCTAACAATATATTGAAAAATACATAGACACAAACCACCATTTTTTTTATAGCAGGATCATGCCTTGTGGATTTTATTCTACAGGGACAGGACATGGAAAGTTGGACGGAGCAAAATACAACCCAATCTTTGAAAACGAAGCAGTCCTAACATATTAATGTGTTAGAATGGCCAAGTCAATGCTCAGACCTAAATCACAAACTCTCTTCATTCAATGTGGGAGAGCATGGTCTGTTTGCATCTGTAATCGCAGAGAGTATTGATCCAGGGTGGTGGGAGACTTTTGCAAGCCACACTTTTCAGTTTTTCATTTGTATCTTATTGCTTTCACTTCTCTGTCTTAATTGTGACTCTTTGTGTTGGCCGTTCACATTTAATGGCAATGTTTGGAACAATAAAAAATGTGGAAACGTTATGGGCTCTTAAACACTAATTAAAATCCCTGTATAATGCATAAACAACTGCATAACACATAAGACTTCTGTATAGCATCTCTGAGTGTCCAAATAAGCGTACAATGTATTATTATTATTATAAACAGTTGACTTAGACAATAGAAGATCTACCTCCAGGACCAAACATCAAATCAGTTTTTATTCACGCTTGAAACATGTTACTGTATTCTTCATTCACAGGGCCATGGAAAGTGAATTTTGCAGATTAAAAAAAACAAACCTCAGGGGCCTGTTCTTTACCTCTGCCCAGTAAATTAACTGAACTCTCTGAACTTATTGTGGGAGTGCAGAGGAAAAGGACCGTTCCTGACCGTGCCTCTGAGCTGTTTGTCATGTGCAGAGCCTGTTCTTGTCAGGTCTTTAAAAGCCTCATCACCTCAAGGACTTCTTTTGCATCAACGTCTTAACAATGAAGGCACTGCTTCTCTTCACTTCTGCTGCACTCCTCCTGCCCTTGGCTCTTTCGCTCTCGGACGACACAACTTGTAGAATAATATGGTGAATATAAAAGCATTTTCTCATTTCTCTAATGTGTCTGTCTGTGGGAGCGGGTCCCTCTCTCAATACGGGCCTCCCCTTTTCCCACTGGGTGAGTCGTTGCTCGCCGATGCAGAAAGGTGTGAAGATTGTGAGGATCTAGGACATTTTGGTTGAGCGCAGAATAAAACATGTAAGGTCTGGTTGGGGGCCGAAAGTATGAAATTGGTTATCTTTTATTATACATATTATTTTTACATTACATTTTTTTACATTTGGATGAATTACTTGTTTGACATTAGTTTGATTGGATATTATTTTAAGATAGAGTGAACACAATTAGTTCAGTTACTGTAAATTGAACCAAAACTGGACCAAATTTTTAGGACAGATGTATTTGAAGACTTTAAAAAAATATATTTAACAATAAAACTTAAAATTACGTGTTGGTTGTTTAGATGTGAACATTTCTGAATAAATTGAATAATATGGTTGTTTTATTGCAAAAAATAGATTTAAAAAGAGGTACTGTATAACATGCCATTGTATTACCATCATTGCTGTAACTTAATATAATAATTTAAAATAATTTCAGGGGCCAAAAAGAAAATGGTTTGGCGGGCCGGATATGGCCCACGGGGCTGAGCTTGAAAAGCCTGATCCGGGACAATTATGAAATTTTTTTAGACATTGGTCATCCCACTCCTTGTAGACGGCTTCTATGTGTTTGTTATTATTGCATTTCCTGTTGGATTCTCTGATCTGTTCGTGATCTCTTTAGTCCTCAGAGGTATCTGCTGTTGTAATTTAGGAATATAGAAAAATAAATTGAATTGAATAGAATTGAACAGTTATATTGCATGTGTTTTCCCCTCACAGGGTTTTTACAGAGCCGTGCACAAGACCAAACGAAGCCCTAGTGCGTCAAGTGAAGGCATGGAGCTCCAAGAAGTGCTCCGGCGATCAGGAAAAGTGCATGTATAAGGTGCCGCATCGTTCTGGCCACAGAATGGTTTCAGATTTATTGATGCAACCCATATGCAAGTACAAACATAGAAACACTTTTAATTATGTTTAGCAGATTGTCAAAACACACTGGTTCTTTGTGATTGATCAATTGACTTGATTAATCACATTTTCCTTTTTCTTTCAGATAATTCAGTCAAGTGAGTCCAGTCTTGACATCGAGCACACATCTAAGAGCACAAGTGCAGTCAGTAAAATGTCGTTCATGTTCACTCCTCCTGCAGCGGAGCGATTCTGCAAAATCAGGGTAAGGAATGACAATGACTACAGGTCAAACTCGAGGAATTAAAATAGTGCTTAAAAGTGAATTTATTTCTGTAATTCAGCTTAAAATGTTAAACTAATTTGTGATATACCCTCATTTAAGTGAAATGTGCCAATCCTTTGTTTGTTATTCCTTTGATGATCATGCCTCACAGGGTTTTTCAAATTATTTTTCAACTATATTCTAATTCTAATGTAGGTGATACAATATAAGGTAATGCGGGCCTAAATCAAGTGATTTGAGTACATTCTGACTGTCTTAAAAAAACAAGGTTTGCCAAAGGAACTAGCCATTTAGTCTTATTTCAAGAACTGATACTTTTCTAGTTTATTTTTTTAAGATAATTTTGCTGGTCCCATTGGCAATTCTTGTTTTAAGGCAGTCAAAATGTGCTCCAATTAAGTTACATTTGGACAAATTTGAGGTCTTTTTGAATCACTTTTTGCAGTGTACTGTAAGATAATTATCAACATTATATCAGATAAAAGTGACAATATACAGAAAATAAATGTGTCTTAACAATACTCAAAAGTCAGAAAATGAAAAAAATATGTCCGCTGATAGGTTTAGTGTCATTTCAGTCCAAGATGTGGAGACACTGGTATGGTTCTTTCAAAGTAATAACTGTTTGTTGTGTGTCTGTTTGGAATTGGACTTTGAGTCTGTAATAGTTGAGTTGATATTCTAGTTTTCCGAGTTTCACTTGTACATAAACACAAGCTAAATGATAACTTACTTTATTTTCACATTCCTTTGTTTTGCAGGCCTATTCCATAACCACACCTAACAATGGCACCGGCTCGAACGACTTCTGCCTCTTCCACAATCTGTTTGAAGGTATCGCTTTCACTTTATAACACATTTATATTCTTTAAAAACCCAAAATATTTTATACAATAGTTTTTTCATTTTTTATGTCTTCAGAAAGTGGCCTCATCAAAGACCCAGGCTACAGAGAGATCACCAACGAGAAAATGTGCCCTTCTAGAGCAACAGCAAAATGCATATCAAATGAGAGTCAGCTGCCTGTTGTGCGGTGAAGTGGGTCTCAAACTTCTTTTACTAAATGTTAATGTACTGTCGAACATGTATGAGGGACGTTTTCTGTGGGATACAGGGCTACAATAAGAAAGAAAACAGTAATTACATTCATTGAAATATAGCAGAGTGTAGTAGTGCTTGGAAGTTTGGTTCAATTCATCAATTATAATAAATAAATTATGGATTAAAATGTGTGACCTTTTTTACTTTGTACTTGTTTGACCAATCACTGCTGGTTTTTGCACAAAAAATATGGCTCTATTCTGAAAATATGATCAAATATGGAAGTGAACCTTTTCAGTACCACTTTTCAGTCTCAATGAAATGCTAAGTTTATATATATATCATGAAATAGTAATATCACATTCTCAATTTATTGCATTAATTCATTCATTTGCTGCCATCCAATATCCATTGCACCAGTTCCTTTCTTGGGAGGATGACAGGTCCATCGGCGGCAACACAGCCTTGGTCTTTCAGCTGGGGATTTAGACAAAGTGGGGTTAAGTGTCTTGCCCAGGTACACAAAAACAGCAGAATTGTGACTGCGATTAAATAAGCATGAATCTAAAAATTATATGACTATAGGCTCTTTACTTCATTAGGCCTCTCTGAAAAAAGGGAGTTTTCTTCTTTAGAAATAGCTCATGGTCACAAGACTTAAACCCCAGGGCAAGTATAGTATCTTGACGCCTAAATCCAAAATCACTGGAATTACTGTGGTGACATTAAAGGCCTTTTGAGAAAGCATGAAAAATGTGCCCTTAATCTCGGTCCTTAAAAAGCTCCACACGTTGCTAATTTTCATTCACTTGGCTCCCAAAGATGAAGACAGTGGTTGTGCTCGCCTCCTCCGTGCTTTTGCTGCCATTGCTGCTGGCGGACTTTTCCCCTCAGGATTCCACATGTAAAGCAATATGGTAAGTTATGGATGACACATAGTAGTTTATAGCATGTGTTGTAATACTGGTGTGCTGTTTTTAGGTTGTTCAATCTTCCTTGTGCCAGACCCAACCGTGCTCTGGTCCGTCAGGTTATGAATTGGAGCTCGAATAAATGTGCTGATGAGGAGGAAAAGTGCATGTATAAGGTAAATATACAGTATTGAAAAGGAAAAAAAAAGACTTATGCCACGAGAGAAGAGAGCTGCCTTCAAAAATGTAGAACCTCTTTCAGTCGATCTGTCTACCCCTTCACTGCAGCTAGTTGTGTGGAATTATCTTCCAACCAAAGGCTGTGTATAGATGGATAATCTATATACAGCAACCCATCAGCTCAATGAAGCCTGATCAGGAAGTGCTCATGGACAAAGTTTTGCTCCAACTCGCTCTTGCTCCTCTAGCTCAGTAACCGTTTGTCTCACACCATGCTGACTTTTAAAGAAAGCCAGAGGAAAATGGGTGCTGGGTGGTTTTTTTATTGTGACTTGTATGTTAAATTTAAATTAAGTTGTAACCTCTGATAGCGTATGTACTGTGTGGTCATGTATCCATCTACTTTTGTTCTTCGACTACAGGGGATATTTTTCTCTCCTGCTCCAACTTGTTACAACTGGTGGATTTATATTGTGCACTGTCCCTATATATAAAAAAAAAAATTCATACCATATCTATCAGCATCAGATGGATCTAAACATCAAAGTTAAAATGGATTTCTCACATGCATTTTACCATTGTTTTACTTTTTATGTATTTAATGAACCGATAACTATGGTTGGACGTCATGGTAATGTGTGTAATTTTACTTTTAGGTGGTTCGATCTACCTCTTACTTTCTGGAGGTTATGCACACATCTCCGGACTCCAGTCAAACTACTGTGATGTATTTTGACTTCTACCCTCCACAACACTCCAACTTTTGCAAAATCTGGGTAAACGATGCATTGCGAATAAATAGTAGGTTGCGTTCATGTTCTAGAATTATTTCCGGGCAGGTGAATGGATGAAAATGTTCAAAAACGTCAAAATATTTTCCAAGTTAAATTTAAAAAAGTGATTATATTGACAAAGTTTTGTGTTTTTTAATATCGTAAAATGAGGAAATAATATACTATAGTTGATATGCGTTGGCGAGGACGATCTGGAATTTTGTAACAGTTTTCTCATGCAAATTAGCCGCTGGATTTCAGAGAAATTACCGAAAAACTAAGACTAACTTTTGACACTTACCAATCAATCCATCAATCTTTATTTGTAGAGTATTTTTCCAACACAGGATATCACAAAGCGTGTGTTACCATAGTTACCAGGGAAGATTCTTCAGCTGCCCAGATCAGGTCTTTGGAAAGTTGTGATGTCACATGAACGCAGCCTACTGATTGGTTTAATGTCATTCAGTTACAAATACAGAGAAATAAACAAAACCAATCTAATTACCAGGCCTACGCAGTGACTTCTCCCTTCAATGCCACCAACGCTCGCGAGTTCTGCCTCTTCCACAATCTCTTTCAAGGTGACGGCTTTTATCAATATGAATGAATTGATTGATCTGCTGATTTTTGTTTTGTTTTTCTGTTAGCGAGTGGACTGACCACTGTTCCAGGATTCAGAGAAATCACCGATGTTCGCATGTGTCCTTCCGTTTCTACCGCCACATGTTTGTAATGAGATCAGAAGTTCACCGTGGAGTTCTTTGCAATTACACACTTTTTTTGTACTCTTTTCACAAAATTCACACACATTTCTGAAGTGTAAAAACATCTTATATCTATGAATGACTTAGTTTCATCCTGTCACTGTATGTACAGTACCACAAATAACTTTTTATTGCACAGAATAGTCGGAAACATCATAAACTTATTTGAAGAGAAAACTAGCATGATTCATGAACGCTGTAGCAAGTATGTGAAAAATGTTAATTAGTAGTGATAGTTTAAAATACACTTTCATTCACATTTTTAGCACATTTACCAACAATTTCTCACTGTCATTATCGTGGGTAAATAAAATACTGGCTTGAAATAAACAAACAAAGCTGTAGTCATTATGCACTTGGTTTATTTACAACACAGCAATGTCCATGTTTTTAAAATGAAAAACGACCCAAGCAAACTGTACTCACTCTGTATGTACATATGCAATACTTCATATACAGCATTTGTTAAGTTCAGAACCGTGTACTTCATCCGACTATTACAGCTAACATCTCGTCTAAAAGCTCTTTCCTCCATCCCCTCTCATTATCGGCCACTGCGGAATCAACCACGAGTCCCCCTTTGAACATCTCTCCAGTAGTAGCCCTATAGAGCTTAGCAGCGCAGACAAAGAAATGGTCCAAAAATAAACCAGTACCAGTCTAAATGACCACGCTTGTAAAATATCAAGTATTTCAATTGATTTCCGCATGAGTGTCTTAAATTAGGATTTTGTTATGATACAAAATTAGTTATTCTTAAATTAAACTTGGATTTCTACATCCTCACAATGACGCAATCCTCTCTGATTACACACAAACAACATATAAAATCAAAAGCGCACAAGCCACTGAGGATTTTTCTATCTCTTCCATAACAGTGTGGGGATTGAAGATTGGCCTGCCTTATGGTTCACCGACATAGAAAATAATATTGAGCTATTGAATTGATTTGTCTACTTCCAATTATGTATGACGCAGACGTTAGTTTGAGTTCACACTGTTACATTTAGTTGGACAATCGAACATGTTTTGAATGAACTCCCAGTATATATGTAGGACTGGCCACTAAGACAGACCAGTACTCTCATGATATGTACTGTATGTAATAATGTCCAAAAATGTATAATAAATAAAACACTAATAATACCAACTTAATCATGTTTTTGAATCTTAAAAAAAGCATTACGCACCGATATTTACAAACAGTAATGTCCATAAACAGAAAAAGAATATCACTGTTCAGGTCAATACAGGACCAGATATGAAGGCTTTTATATGTTTCCGTTGTTATTGTAATTAAATAGTACAGTATATTTGTCGTGCAGTTACCATTTAAGGTTGTTGTTAGTTTAATTCAGAAGTATTAGTCTTTTTAGTACTGCTTAGGTAAACTGATTTGTTGAAATTGTAGCACAGTTTCCTTATTATTGAATACAAGTTTTGCATCCTAGATATTCAGTAGCTCTGATACACAGGGTTAGAAATGTGTCAATAAGACCTCAATGTTCAGCTCCTTCAGTGACTTGCTGTTAAGCTCCGATCTAAGTACATAAAAGTTACAACCCAAAAACTTTTAAACTAAGGTAATAAAATTGTTGGACATTAGAATGTATATAAAGACGGACAAAGTGTTGTTCGTTTGGCAGAGAAGAAGCGGTGAATCTGGAGGCACGTATTATTTTTAGAGATGGGACATGGCTTCTAATTAGGTCATATCATCATATCCTTATTCAACTGAAAGGATTGATTTAAAGTGTTATTGCTCAGTAAAATATTGTAGATTTTTCTTATACGTATCAAATCCTGCAGTGGGAGTATTTTTACAACAAATTGCGTCATTATCTGTTGTAGATGACCCTTCATAACAACCTCGTATTATTCAAACTATGTTTGTGCTTTGCACCTTAATGTAGGATTATGTACAGATTTGACAAAATCACATTAACAAGACTGAACTCATGAAGGAATTCTTGTATATTTACTAAACTAGCAGCAAAAGATCATGCTGTACCAGCCACAGTGTGGCTTCTCTTCTTATCATTAGTCAAACTTTGTCCATCCAAATATACATTGTGCATTAAAGACCGAAAACGAAAATGAAACAAAGTGTTCAACGTTCTCTTACACAGATGCCTCTGAATGAACTGTACATGTCCTTGAATTTTACAATTTCCTTTTTCTCTGCAATAACAAAAGTAAACAGTCTGAGTGAAGATGGTAAATCTGTGTGATGATCTCCCACAGTGCCTTCAGGAAGCGACCTGTGATTAAGGCGGTCTCATGTATTGCAAAGAGGTTTGTTGGCCCCAGTTCAGAGATACTCTGCCACAACAGTCATCGGTTCATAGGCTGCGCAAAAACTGTTTCCTATCTCACTAATTACACAGCAGATGGGAAGATATGAATAGAAATGGCAAAGGAAACCTTGATGCCACCAGCTTTGAGCCAACATTAGAGCGAAATCACTGAAATTATGTTGGGTGTTAATCCTCTTTGGAAGAAGTCTATTTGGTAAATGTTTTAGCCTTCCATACAATGAATCATTTGTACATGAACTCCAAATAAACATGTTTCGGTGCTTCAAAGATGAAAGTTGTCCCCTATGTCTTGTAGTCCACTGGTATTGATCAAAGGGCTTCTTAACCGGCGTGCGGAGACGAGGACGAACAATAGTCCAACTTAACAATGTCTCTGTTTGAAGTCCATTTTAGAGACAAAGTCAAGCAGATACATATTTATACGTTGTTGGACTCTGGAGACATGGCTCCATTACTGTCTTCTCATGAGTTCTTCTGCTTATTATGAGTTTGAGCTATATCTGCCCACACTGCAGCTGTTATGGACTACTGTCATTACCAATTACCACGGCATTACCATGGCTTAGAGCAATAACTCGCCTTTATCAGCATGTTGCAACAGTCTTCACGTGGTTTGTCCTTCAGACCCACTCCTGCATGGAGCGTTTGCAGTACAGTATGTGGCGCTGTGTACTCTTCCTCCTGAACTGAAAGACAGTGTAGAGGAGGACCATCATGCAAAGCGCCAGGACACAGGGAATAGCGATGGCCACTGCTTTCTCTGTGCCTCCCGTACTGTCCAGTTTAATGACCACATCTGCATCTCCATTGTCGTAGTTCCGCTCTTCAGCCACTGGGGGGCTCCAGTCCCAGTCGGGGTCTGGCGGGAGCCCATCACACCCCATAAAGTCTCTCAGAATGGAGCGCGGATATCCCGGCTCAACCCGTAGAAGCAGGTTGTTGAACTTCCAATACTCTTTACCTTTGTAGAAATATGTGAAGCCTGTAGAATGAAAATGAATACATCAGAATACAATTTGAATATCAATACTTCTTGAAGTAACACAACTGTAATCATCATTTCTGGGTTGAAAACACTATAAACAATACCTATAACAATGCATTCCAAATACCATGCAAAATGTGAGCCTTTTAGCTTGATGGCTTGTGGCCAGGAACACCCACTAATCACCAGTTAATCACAAGACTGACATTTATATTCAGAGCAGCTATTCACATTAGCCGTGATTTTCAATGGCAATTTTCACAGTCCACACACTTCTTCTGATTAGCTACTCTTTTTTTTTTAAACAAAAGGCACAATAAATGCCACATGTTGGTGACAGAAACACAGTAGTCGTTGTGACTGCGTACCGTTGGCCTTGTCCACAAAAGCCCCTTGTGGAGAGTCAGGGATGCCTTTCCAGATGGTGATGGGTTTGGGATAACCTGGGTCCATCGTCCTCATGTCCTCATTGTACCTCCAGTATCTACATAAAGAAATTACAGTAAGAACAGACATGGCTTTTGTCAACCTACATTTGATATTGTGAATGTTTAATTAAGCATTACAACACTAGCTACAACACTGTTATTGGCCCATATCCATCCTACTAATTAATCTTCACACTTCTGGTTACTGATGTGATGTGAAGTGAAGAGAACTAAAAAGGTGTAAACACAAATTCTGAACGGGTGCATAAGTGTAACTGACGACGACAGTGACTCAGTGCTTACGCAAATGTATCATGAGGACCTGCTTCTAATTAAGACAACAGAGTCACGTTGCAACTGCCATGGGCCAAATTCTTCTTTATTTATTTATTTGAACAGTATTAATACAGCACAAAAGGAGAAGGCTGAAGAAAAAGGTTAGGAGCACTGCCACGCCTAAAACTCAATTACATGTTCTGTCATAGTGTGGACTTTTGAGTATTTGACCTGATTTTATTTTGCTACATATTTGCAGTTTGATTTGTTACCTTGTATTTATTTGATTAAATTTCACTTTACTTTTATATTTTTGCATTTTGAGTTTCTATTTTCACTTAACCTCATGACCTCATGTTCATATCACAATAAGAAATTAGTACAGAACAGGACACACAAATGCACACAAAATATATACTACATATGCACTTGGATTAATCAAAAATTCAAACCGAAGAAAGAATAGATCATACAATTTGCTATGACTTAATGAGATTAGCCAGAGAGAGACCAGAGAGACCAGAGAGAGACCAGAGAAATAGAGACCAGAGAGAGAGACCAGAGAGAGAGAACAGAGGAAGAACAGAGAGAGAAAGCAGAAAAAGACTAGAGCGAGAGACCAGAGAGAGACCAGAGAAATAGAGACCAGAGAGAGAGACCAGAGAGAGAGACCAGAGAGACCAGGGAGAGAGACCAGAGAGAGAGAGACCAGAGAGAGAGAGCAGAGAAAGACCAGAGAGAGAGACCAGAGAGAGAAAGCAGAACAAGACTAGAGAGAGAGACCAGAGAGACCAGAGAGAGAGAGAGAGAGACCAGGGAGAGAGAGCAGAGAAAGACCAGAGAGAGACACCAGAGAGCCTCACTGACAATTGTCTGTTTGACACAATGCACATAATCCTGTTTTATTAGGAGACATTCTGAAAGTTGAGGTTCATTCTCAGTATCTTTTAAGACCGTGTAAT